CATTTTTTTTGCACATTTTTATTAAGATTTTAAACTAAAAAACTAAAAAATGATCAATCATCAAATACATTGGATGTACTGGGTCAGCCCCCTATAACATTTTAACATTCTATAATCATATTCAATTCGATTTATAAAAATTTAAAGACATCTTTAAATCTAACCCAAGTCCCGTTTCTCCAGCCAGTCGTAAAAAAGGTCCCAAGTTTGATAGAAGTCAGTATCTTCTTTCTCCTTCAATAATAGAGTCAATCTGTCCATTTCTGCACAGTCCAGAATCTTTTTTAAAATCAGTTCCTCAGTGGGTAGTTCCTCACTCTTCCAGTATTGAGCAAGCACAATCCTCACCACTGTGATTAGATGTAGTATCAAATACATTTTTTGTTTGCTAATATTTTCCGGTACAATGCCTTTTTCTGTCTACTTCTGTGCTGCCCCATATCTGGACTTGCATCTGCTTTTAGAGGTTTGCAGAGCCCTTCTCTACCATTTGGCTTTGTTCCCTCTTGAACTCCAGTGGACTGGCCCCTAGTAGAAGGGTTTTTAGAATGATACAGTACACACTGGATTTTAGGGTGTAGTAGAGGACTTGAACCTTCTTCATCATAGAAAGCTTTGTTAACCTCTCATACTAACCATATTACTTTGCAGCCTACATATTTTGGGCTTTTATCCAAAACTAAAGAAAAGCAGCATAGCAAGAAGTTAAATTGTTAAGGGATGAATTATGATGGAGTAAACTTTAAGTTCTATAGTGATAAATAAGGCATGGTCATGGAGACAATAATGCCACCTACTGGTGTGCTCTGGTGTGTCCCATAACCTGTGGCTTCCTGGAGGTGGACTGTGCTCCAAGCCCAAGTTGGCAGGAAAGCATATTGTTACAGCTGTCTGTCTGTCAAGCAGTGTCTCCTTACTTGCAAGCTTTTTATTTTCACTGGATGAGGTAATAAAGGGGATTTTGAAAGGCAAGTAAGTGACAGTAATGTAGGCCTCAGATGAATCATTAAAATAACTATGGTTGCCTGGCAGAGGAAGCCAAACTGGATCAGGTTCATCGGAGAACAGAATGAAGTGCCACCTATTTAGTCCAATTACATGTCCCTGTTCACGTGATGGACATAAAAATCTGGTGTGTTTTCAGGTGAGGAGCTCTGTTGAGGTCTTTCTTTGAATAAGAGCAGTATCAGAAGGATGGCCTCATTCTTATGGAACAGGCCTGGAATTACGCATTGCTTGTAATAGCAATTACAACTTATTCTGGATCCATACCAGCCCCTCCAGTGCCTTTAGCTATTCCAAAACAGTATATTTGTTTCAGTAATGCAGTTGGTTAAACCAGGTAGGTTGACACTCCAGGACTAGCCTTTCTGCAGCAAGGTCATTTTCAGAAATGAATATACGCTGGCAAAAGATATTTTCAATCTCATTCTATGTATGTTTTGTCTAAAAGTCAGTCCCTGTGAGCCCAGGTTATGAGAAAAGGATGAGAAATTTCTCTCTTTGCAATACCTCCACAGCACGCATAATTTTGGTGGGCTTTCATTCATAGGGTCACCTTAAGTCAGAGACAGCATAATAACACAACAACAAATTCTGCTTTTGGGAGTAAACATCTCCCCTGCTTGAAATAGCCACACTGACAGGTTGCCCCAAGTTCTTATGGGGGAAACAGAAGGTAAAGGAGCACACAGCTTGTTTTTTAGCAGAATTGCACTCCCCCTCCCAGTCTGCCAACATTTATCTGATGGACAGTCCAGTGTGATTCTGCTGGAAAACAAGGGCTTTATTTCCTATGCACAGTAGCATTTCCTGTATTTCACAAGAGAATAGTTGGTAATCTGACAGTGCAGCCAGAGACCAGGTGGGTGCCTCATTTTTTTCTAGAAAGAATGTGGCGGGTGAATTTATTATTATTATTATTATTATTATTATTATTATTATTATTATTATATCATTTCTATGCTGCCCCTTGCCGAAGCCTCGGGGCGGCTTACAACACAATAAGATACATTGAAATACAATAGAACATAATAAATTACCACTAAATACAAAAATACAAAAAATACACTGAGATACAATAATATAAAATTAAAATTAACAGTATAAAATAAGTAAATAAAGAATATAGGAGGAGAAAAGAGAAGGAAGAAGAAGTTGCCCTGGCCAGATCATATATTTTAACAATTAAAATGATGTTTAAATAAAAAGGTCTTTACCTGGCGCCAAAAAACCAGTAACGACGGTGCCAGGCGGACCTCTCTGGGGAGTGAATTCCATAGGTTGGGTGCCACCGCAGAGAAAGCCCTCCTCCGAGTACTTACTCTCCTAATTTCTTTCATGGAGGGTTCCTGGAGAAGGGACTCTCCTGCAGATCTCAAGGGGCGGTCGGGCATATACGGATGTAAGCGCTCGTTCAGGTAGCCAGGACCCAAGCCGTTTAGGGCTTTATAGGTCATCACCAACACCTTGAATTGGGCCCGGGCTTCAATGGGAAGCCAGTGAAGCTGACGGAGGACTGGAGTCATGTGAGCATAACGCCCCGTCCCCATCAGCAACCTGGCAGCTCTATTTTGCACCAATTGAAGTGTTTGGACCGTCTTCAGGGGAAGCCCCACGTAAAGCATGTTACAGAAGTCTAGGCGGGAAGTCACCAGCGCGTGTGTCACCGTCGCCAGGCAGTTGTATTCCAGGTAGGGGCGCAGCTGATTAATCAGCCGAAGCTGAAGGAAGGCGCTCCTCGCCACCGCTGACACCTGAGCTTCCAAAGAAAGCTCCGGGTCGAGGAGTACTCCTAAGCTGCGGACCTTGTCCCTAAGAGGGAGTGTTGCCCCAAAAAAATTTTGCCCCAAAGGGTTGCATGTTGCCCAGCTCTGTTCCAAATGAAAGTCCCAAAAGTTGTAGCTTTCCTCCTAAGGGAGGTGTTGCAACCCCTTAATGATCTTGGTTGGCCTTTTCTGCATCTTGTAGCAACAGTAGTCTTTGGAAGATGTATGCATTATGGATAAATAATATGAACAGCTACATTTTAACAACTGTAATAGGCAAAACATTGCTAAATGCTTGGGTTGGGGTTTTTTTTTTTTACACGAATTGATACTATGCGATTGATTGAAAGTATGTATTGATACATGTTTATGTTTTTGTATTGTTGTCCTTGTGCTCTTTGATCGCATTAATGTGGGAAAGCTGCATACAAGCTAAAGCCATAATATTTATGGGGATTCCAGAAATTAATACAGTACTCTGCGTATGGCTACACCATAGATTTGTATAAAGGCATTACAAAATTGGCTGTTACCATTTTCAGGTTTTGAATTCTAGCATGGAACTTGTCTTCTCATGGCTCTGCACACAGGGCTGATGTGTTTGCTGCATTATCCTCCATGAACCTTAGAACACTCTCCTGATTAGTCACCACTAGTTGAGGCTCCATAGGTGGCGTTCACATCCCCCCAGCCCCGTGCCCAGTGTGCATGTTTTTACAGTTACGTATGGTGAACAGCATTTGACTTTTCTGCCATTTCAGGGGAATTGCAGCTTTAAGGTACCATATAATATGTGAAACTGGCTGCTAATACTTTGTGATAAATAGATAGACTAGGTCCTTTACACACAGCTGGGGTGCACTTTGGTACTCTGATAATAAAGCTTTCACTGATGTTTTTCTTTGACATACTTTCTAGGTAGGTCTCTAGATGTTTTGGAGTTCAACTCCCAGATGTCCCGCTCAGCATGGCCATTGTTCAGGAATCCTGGGAGCAGAGGTCCAAAACAGCTGAAGATCTACTTTCTGCTCACTAGTGCTTTCAGACACATACATAAAATAAGATTAAGGGTGCCATCCGGTGTGGCTTCCCATAACCCTCTGAATTCAGAGAGTTATGGGCATTCAGTGGAAGAAAGGGAAAGCACAGAAGCAAGGATTGCCTCCACACTTCCCTCACCCTCCAAAATACATAGATAGCCCATTTCAAACTGTCTCATTCCTGATTGTGAAGAGGAGGGAACTCAGGCACTGGCAAGTATTCTCATTTCTTTCTCCTCCTCTCTCTGACCCCTGATACTTCATTTGGAGATGCAGCTGGGAAGGAAAGAACTGTGCCAGCTGCAAGCGCAGAGGATGCGTGTCCCAAGTTCTGTGCCCTGGCTCTGACCTTGAAGTGCTTTCTGAGGTTGGAGCTGGGCCTCCAAATTAAAGCTTCTTCAAGCAGTCGTAGGATGTGCCCTAAACTGGTTTTAGTCAATTTAAGGCTGCAATCATACACATACTTATCTGGGAGTAGATTCCATTAAACTCAATGGGCCTTATCTCTGAGTAGTCATGTATAGCAAGAATGGGGAATTTCATCTTGAAGAAACTCTCAGAAGCTGCACTCTGCTAGTGGGTGGGCAAAAGGGATGGCACACACACACAAAACCCCTATTTTACTTTCAAACTCTTACTCCCCGTAACTGAGCCATGTTAATCATGTCAAGTGGGAAGAAAAGGTGCAAAAGCTGTAAAATCACCAAATTTTGAGAGGAAGGGTACTGTGCCCAGGGAAAAGGGGTATATCCAGATTTGGGCTATGGACCTGAGGTTACCAAGCCCTGATGCGTAGGACTGAACTGAAAGTGTTATTTGTCTCAACCAAGGAATCCTGGAGTTTTGGTTCAGTTGAGATATAAAGCCAGGATATCTTTAACAGAATCCTTAGCAGCCTCTCAAAAGATATTTGGAGAATCTACACCAATTAAGCTAATGTCAAGGCCATGAAAAAGTATGTGCAGATGTGCCCCTGAAGTAAGCAAAGGATACAAGCTAGGCAATGGCTGTAACACTGTAAGATCAATTTCCACAGTGAACAACACAAAACACAGTAAAAGTGGTTTAGAGGGTCGTAGTGATAGAGAACTACTCAACTGAGGAATGGTTTCATTACAGTTGGAAAAGTGTGCAGACTTGAGGAAATTTTCTGTAGATTAGTGTGTGATGCTTCACTTTTGTTTCCATGCAGAATGTGAAACACGGGAAACAGTCCAGACCACTCACTTTGCCTTCCTGAGTTCAATCTCTGCCTATTGAGTTTGATCCATGTGCAGCATAATACAAGTTGTTTACCTCTGACTAAAACATGGCTGACACAGCTTTGCTACTGAGACATGAAAGAAGACACAGGACTCTGATATCCTGCTCTGGATCACCTTGAGGAGAATGCGGTTGGCCTCACACAGTCTGTTGATCCTGAGGTGCAAGGGGGGCCTGGCTCAGCATGCTGTTCCAGAGCCGCAAAGTCCAGCTATTGTTGGTCAACTCCCTGACATTTGGTTTGGAAGTCTGTCTAGCTGCAGGCATCACCTATGTGCCACCACTCTTGTTGGAAGTGGGCGTGGAAGAGAAATTCATGACCATGGTTCTGGGTAAGAGACTTCTTAACTAATGCATTTGTTTTTCTATATGAGACAGTCATTCTTGCTGTGTGATCTTGTGAGTTAGTTCTGAACCCCACAGGATGGATGGATGAGTGTGTGTGTGTGTGTGTGTGTAGATAGTATGTATTGATGGCAGTGTGCTCATCATTATTATAGTGTGTTTGTGTGTATAAAGAAAAGACCCATATATTCCAAGGACCTTGGGGATCTCCACTGTATGTCTGACAGAGAACTGAACTGAGGTTTTGAAAGACTATACATTCTGGGAACCAAACAAAAATGTTTTGAGGATTCTGAATTTCAGGAAGGAATAGCTTTAGCTTTCATTTATCATTTTTCAAAAAGCTTTGCTATATCACAGCACAATCTCTAGATATGATGAATATTGTAATGTATGTGAATCCAGTGAAACTCACTGGCTGGTTCATGTGAGAAGAGGTCCGCAGGGTCAGGAGATTCCCGGACAGAGATTCTCAGGGTAATAGTTTGGCCTCCACAATCCAAACAGAATAACTGTCATCCTTAATTCTAGCCATGTTACTCTGGATCACAGTTAAAACAACACAGACTTTTGTGGAACATTGAAGACTGCTACATTTATAAGACATAAACATATACTGATGCCTCTGATAAAGTCCATGAAGGCTTGTGGAATAGTAAATCTGGGATTTCAAAATGCTATAAGGCCTTAGTAGGGGAAATTTTAAGTAGGGAAATTTTTTTAAAAAATTAAAATATGCTGTCCCATTGGCTCCCGAGGTTTCCCATAGAAGGAAATGCCATCTACATGTCTTAATCCACTGCAGGCACACATCCCTGTTTGGGTGATGGCAGCTGCTGGGAAGCTTACAGATCTAGCAGGAGTGGCTAGGAGTTGATTTCCTTTTACTCGCTGGCTTCCCTTTATCCTTGTGAGGGCTCCTTTATGGAGCTGTTGATGCTGCTGGAGCCTTAAGGCTGGGCCACAGTCCTTTGAATCAGATCCATGGTTCAGTGTCTGAAGTGACAGCAACCCTCTGCCAATCCCTTTCCCCCATTAACACGTTGTCCTTTCCCCTGATTCTAGGAATTGGGCCCGTTCTAGGCCTGATGTTTGTGCCACTCATTGGCTCTGCCAGTGACCAATGGCAGAGCAGCTATGGCCGCCGCCGCCCTTTCATCTGGGTCCTGTGCCTGGGAGTTCTGCTGAGCCTGCTGATCATCCCTCACGCGCATCGCCTGGCCAGCCTCATCACCTTGGATACTCGCTCCCTGGAGGTGGCCTTCCTCATCACAGGTGTTGGTCTGCTGGACTTCTGTGGACAGGTCTGCTTCACCCCGCTGGAGGCCCTGCTCTCCGACCTCTTCCAGGAGCCTGACACCTGTCGGCAGGCCTTCTCCATGTATTCTCTCATGGTGAGCCTGGGAGGCTGCATTGGGTACCTTCTACCAGCGATCGACTGGGACCATAGCTTCTTGTCTCCTTATCTCGGTGGACAGGAGGAATGTCTCTTCAGCCTCCTGACCATCATCTTTCTCGGCTCTGTCTTGGCCACCGTCTTTGTGACAGAGGAGGTGGCATCTCAGGTGGAAGTTCTGGCCAGCCCTGCAATGAAGGATCCCTCCAAGCCCCCACCCCTTGCCTGCTGCTCCTTCCGACTTCCCAAAAACTTTCTGAGGGCCAGGCATCTGGTCCAAGCATTTAGGAACCTTTGTGCTCTGGCCCCACGCCTGCATGGAGTGTGTTGCCGCATCCCCAAAGTAATCCGGCAGCTTTTTGTTGCTGAGTTGTGCAGCTGGATGGCCCTCATGACATTCATGCTGTTCTACACGGACTTCATTGGGGAAGGATTGTACCAGGGAGTCCCCAGAGCTGAGCCAGGCACAGAAGCCAGACGACATTACGATGAAGGTAACCTGATCTGCGGTGTGTTTGCAAGAAGTGCTTGATGTTTGTACCCGAACATATACCGTGAAAGCCCTTCAAATTGTGTAATTAGAAAATTCAGTCTTTTAACTGTGATAAATTATGAGAGCAAAAAAGAATTCATGAAGTTGCCATTGCTGGTGGGGGGTTTTGTTTTGTTGGGTTTTTTTGCAAATTCCTGGTGCTTGCTTTACTTGGAATACTCTGGGAAGGAAGTGGGGGGAACGAGGCCAGCTAGTGTGAGCAAGGTCCATTGTTAGTGTTGGCCTTAGATTTGGGAAAACAAGTTCTAAAGCCTTCTTATTCAGCAATGTGCTCACACTGAATTGCCTTGGTTTTATGATCAACTTTAAGCCTGAATTTCTTCGCCGTAATGAAGAAATCTGTTTTATTCAAACATGCAAAATAAAGCCCGCTTTTCAAAAGGTCATGGAGGCCCATAGACCTGAACGTGTATGGCAGTTTCTGTGTCTACCAAGGACAATTTTCTCAACCTGTATAGTATGCAGGAGGCAAGCAGAGGTGGGCAACCTGTTAGGGGCATGCATGTTAATATTCTGCAGACGCCATGTAAGGACTCTGAGAAAAGATACTTTCACTATTTATTTATTTTGACAGTTGGGGCATATAATGTTCTTTAAACAAATGAGGATCTGCCTTAAACTAAGTAGGACTAGACCACTTCGCTGCCCAGTTTAGTTGACTGTGATTGGCAGCAGTTCCATAAAACCTTGGGAGAGAAAGACCATTTTTGTAACAGGGGAGAGGGGTAGGAGTGAAGCTCTGGTCTCATCCATACAAAGTTGCACTTTTGTTAATTCAGTGTAACTAAAACAGAAAGTCTAGCTGCCATCCCTCAGCACATAGGATTATTCCTATTATTTTCTCTAAGAAACTACCCATCGTAAGTGCAGCATTGCACTTTACATTGCCATGTAATTTCCCTAGGTTTCCTTTGCAACAACTTTATGTAGAAAAAAATACAGCCTCTGATCATCATCGCCATTTGGAGAGGTGGTCAAAAGCAAAGCTGTGGAGGAATCGCGGGGATATTTTTTGTTGTTCTTGCCCTGTCTTGATCCAGACTGTTTCCTGCTTGGTGTAAAGAAGCCATTCAATCTCCCACCTGCACAATACTTGTGGCTTCTAAATTTTAGGGCATCATCACCTTTAAGCCCCAGCCGGTGAAGCCAGCGGTCAGGAACCTTGGGATTTGTAGTCCAAAACATGTAGAGAAGGCAAGACTGATCTATTGAATAGCTTTCCTTTCTTAATAGTTTCTGACTGTATTCAGGGTCTAAGAGTGATTCAGGAATAATTAGCAGTGGCCCACAAGAAGCCCCCACCACCCAGCTCTTCATGAATTGAACTCAGTTTCTGCAAGACCCCCTTCATACCTGTCGGCATGTGCCATTCCACATTTTACATGTTCCCGTTTTATTGCATGTGCTTTCAAGATTACTGTGGATCTATGCGATTATTCCTTGCCTTTCTTAACTGAAACGTTTTCTTGGTTTGAATGCTTCCTGCTAAAGCTCCTTGGTCCCTTGCCTGACTTTTGTTCCAGTATAATAGTCCAACTGAAGGTCTGAGTGACCCAGCTTGAATTTAACTAATATTTAACATTTCCATCCTGGCACTTCCTATGCGGCCTGCCAAAACTGTATGCTTGATTGTCTACACACAATGATGCTCAGAATCACAGCAACCTAGAACTATGGCTCATATATAAATCATCCTTTAGTGATATGTGAGAATTCCGCATTGTTGTGGATGCTTCAGAGGGTTTTATGGCTCAGAAACTCTAGAACAGCCTTTCCCAGCATGATATCCTCCAGAAGTGTTGGATTACAGCATTCTTCATTTAGGAGTTGCAGCTCAACATATCTGCAGGGCATCTGGTTAAGGAAAGCTGCTCTTGGCTTGGCACTAATTTGAGTACCACTTTTACTTTTGCTGTTCTGTGTAATGTGGTCACAGTGCCTCTTCCTTAGGTGAAGAAGTTAAGATAACTTCTTGGCCAGAATTAACTTTTAAAATGAATACCTGAACAAGTCCTGCAAATATTTTAAATTGAAATCTACTTTATGCTTTCATCTTGTACAACAATCATGAAATGGGGAACTGCTGTAAGTTAAGTGATTCTGCCTGTCTGTTAATGGGAATAAATAAGACTTGAAGATCTTAAAGGCAAAATTGTGCTCAAAGCACTGAGACCACTTGACTTTTGAAAACCTGTCTGTTGCTTGTCTGCCTACTGTTTTCCTATTTTACCGTCTCTTCTCTTTTCCCAGGTATTCGGATGGGTAGCCTGGGCCTCTTTCTCCAGTGCATTATCGCTATCTTCTTCTCGACAATCATGGACCGGATGGTGAAGCAATTTGGAACACGAATTGTCTACCTAGCCAGTGTAGCCTTATTCCCATTGACTGCCTTCATCATGTGCTTCTCTCAGAGCATCGTCATAGTCACTGTTTCTGCTGCTCTGACGGGCTTTCCCTTCTCAGTGTTGCAGATCCTGCCGTACACGCTGGCATCTCTTTATCATCATGAAAAACAGGTGTGTGTGTGGGGGGGGGGGGAGAAGAAAAGGGCTAAGATTTAGGAGGCCTTTGTGAGGGAGGGGGAACCACAGCCATTACATGCAAAACACAATTCTGATTGCCTTGCTGAAGTAATTTTAATAGGCCTGACAAGCATAAAAGGAAAGCATTTTGGTTGTTTTTCTGAGCCCCTTACCACTTGGAATCGATCTATCCAGCTTTTTAAAAACCAGCATAGCCAGTATTTTATTCTGAGTGATGATCCTGGAATTACCCACTCTTTTTAAAGGAAGTGTCTTTTATAAGCAAATTCTCAATTGCCTAGATATTTAACTGGAAAAGAATCTACACTGCTACTTTTTTCCTCTTTCGCTTATCACTTCTGAATCCATTATCTAATCTAAATATCCCATTGGAAAATTTGAAAATATAACTTTTTTGTAAGGAACCATAACAAAATAAAACAAATGAGACACCCAGCAGCAAATAAACTTTCTGTCCCTGCCCGTTTTTACAGGATATAATGTTTATTAAAGCTGTGTTTCAAAATATTATTATTTCAAAGAACCATATAACACTCACCTCTATTCTATGACCTGGTTCACATGTAATAACAACATAGAATACAGGATGAATATGAGTTGTTGTTGCAGCATCATAGGTTATCTTTATTTGCAGACTCTACCCTGTGATTTAACTATGAGTATTAACCACAAACAATCCAGAGTTCTCAACCCAGCAACAAACTATTGGTTATCTTCCTGGGTTTTTCATGGCTTCTATTGACTTTTGTGAAAACAGAAAATAGCATTATATGTGGTACTTTGATCCTAAGGCCTCAAAAAGGGTACATGCAAAGGTACTTAACAGTTCATCTAGATGTGGCTTGACTGTGCTCTGTTAACAGAATTTGGAGGTAGGTGTGTCCAGAAGTTGTCATCTTTCATTTATAGCCCTCCCATGTCACCCATCTCTGCCTCTGTCTTTTTCTTAACACAGGAAACCTGTTAAGGAGGGGAAGACAGAATAACTGCACAATTCCTTTTGGTTAGCAACAGTAGGAGTGGTCCATTTGGAAATACTCTCAGACTAATCTGCTTATTGGAATAAATGTCCATCAGCGATCCAATACTTTTAGATACCTGCTTTATTATTGCCTCAGACATTAGGGGTAGGCAACTTGGTACTTTCCAGATATTTTTGGCTTCAGTTGAAATCCCTTACCATTGGCCATGTTGGTTGAAGATTATGGGGATTGTCACCCAAAGCATTTGGAGGGAGTCAGGTTGCCAAATGCATCATGTAAAAAAGGTGCCGTGGTATATTCACTTGTTTTTGTTTTGTTTCACCATATCTAGGTGCTTTCTTATAGGAAGCAATATTTCCATGTGAGCGGTTATCATGACAGGTAGTCCCTGAGGTGTCAAGCATAGCACTTTTGATAAATAGGGTTAGTAAGTTTCTTGAAACTAAATCATTAAGGAAGAAGAGTGATTGTGCTTTCAGTGGATGGGTTCACCTGACTTATGGAACATTTAGTAGCAGTTATCAACTCCTGGACTTTTCCAGAAGTTTTATGGCAAGATGGTTCTCCAGATGTTTTAAACTTTCAACTTTCCGCAGCCAATTATGCTGCTGAGAGCTGTAAGCCCTTTTCTGTCTATACATATCTAGGATCACACCCTTTGTCTACTGCTGCTTTTCTTAACCCTTTAAGCAGGCTTGTACCTGGGCTTTCACATACTATGTTGAAAACATGTCTTTTCAGCATTGAAAAGTAATGTCGACATGCTCTAGTGTGTGTTGTTTGTCACATGATCTTTGCAAATTTTGCCTTTTATCCAGGTTGTGAGTGGAGCAGATGCCTCCCATCCCACCTTTAAATTACACCGCAGTTAAATATATAGCTTTCTTTTGCAACCATTTTCTTCATTAGGGTATTACTATTCTAAGCGCTCTTGTCAATCTTTGAATCTACTTCCCATGTTTGTTTATTTTTTTGTTTTATCTCCCAAAGTGAGGTGCCCTGTAATAACTTCCACTCTGGTATTAGACGGGCCCATGAAACTAACCCTGTGTGAAGCTTTAGGCTTGCAAGTCATGTAGGTCAGCTGCATATTTTGCGTGTCCTTGTATCCTACTATACAGACAAAACTATGTGAGTGGAGCATTCCAATCTTGAGGAATCTGTTCCCTGGGTCTCTTACATTGGTTTGGGGCAGGTGGCACTGCATAAACATCTTAGTGGCCAAATGGTAAATGGCAACAAGATTCCTTGAATTTCTGGAATCTTTGGCTCTTATGGATTAACTTATGACTACTGGAAAGCCTTTGTTTGTTTGTTTTTTCTGTTTGTTATGCAATATTTTCAGTGTTGTATTTTAACTCCAGTAGTAGCCAGGAATTCCAAGAGAGATTTACAGTTTTATATGCCTCTGTTCCTGCCTCAAATCTTTGAAAGTGCTCTGCAATCCTTATTTAGGTGGTTCCCAGCTATTATAAACATTTTACAGAAAACTGGTGGCTCCAGGAGCAGTCATAACTCTCAGTCGCTGGTTGGAGAGAGTAAGGATGGAGTGGAAGTTGTGCCTAGAGTCAGGATCATGTTTGCTCCGTGTTGAAAGCTCCACGAGCAAAGATTTGCTGCTGATAGTGTTTCATTCATGCTAGATGCTCAAACACTGTATTGCAGAGCAGGTCAGGACTGGCCTTCTATCCCCTGAGAGGCCTCTGGTTCCAGCCAGCTACCTACAACAGCCTGGTGCACGCATAAGCAACTTCCTTCCTGCTGCAATCAATACGGCCCGCTTCAGTTGCCATTGTGCACTGAAGCTACTGGTATCTAATGCTTGAGCTTTCAATTCGCAAGAAGAGTCATTGCGTTTCTAGCCATTCAAGCTGTTTGCATAGCCATTTATGCTGCATTTTTTTTGTCTAGTCATTCCTATATTCCTTCTGCTGGAGCTAAAATGTAGTTGCTTGACCTTTGAAAATACAGGAAACACATGCACAAACATGCATGCACACACACAGAGTATCCTATGTGCTCCCACTCATGAAGCTGCTTCAGTTCTGTGCACAAGACATTGCTGAAGCCCCAGTCGGAAAGTGAGTCTGCATGAGTGATTTTTAAAGTAGATAGTTGGCATGTCTCTCACTGTGGTCCTGATCTGGATTGCTGCCTCATAGGTGGCATTTGCATCAGGGCAGAAAAGTTTCCATTTGTGCAAATAACAAGAAAAGACAGCCTGATCCAGAGTGGAGACACTGTCAGGAGCATAGAATTAAAGCAACCATACGCATACAAGAGCCCAGCCTTAATCAGGCTCCCTGCATCTGCTCTTTGCTTTCAAAAATGCCATTAAAAAAACATTTTTAAAAACCCATTGGTTCCATTTTCCATTAACCACGGATTATTGTTATGCCAAAATGCAGACAAATGGATTTTGGCTTGGAATCAGTGTTGTGCAACTGCAAGCATGCCTGGGCCGTGGGACTTCCCTGTCTTCTTTTGGAGACTCACCCCCAGATCTGCCCAGGAGGGTCGTCCAGCAGCAGGGGAAGGCAGCTGCCCTCATGTGGGCTCCTCAGAGGTATCTAGTTGGTCAGGGTGGGAAAACAATCCTGAACTAGACCTAACGTAAAAGTGTTTTTGGCTGCCTTTACAAACCCTCTAAAGGCAGCACATAAGATAAAGACCACACAAAGTGGATACAGATGTTTAAATCTATAAAAACCTATTTGAATGGAATCCATTAAAAAGATTGCCAGATAAAATTAACAAAATTTAACTTAGCAACAAAGAACACCGGCTCTTTGGGAAGGCACTACAAACAGGTGGATCTTCATAGCTAGATGAGAAACTGGTCAGATTCAGCAACAGTCTTCTTACCTTATGACCAAGTAAATATGTGTGTGCACCCAGCTGTGCATTCTCTCAGGACACGAGAAGACCTTCTTAAGTCCCAATTTTTCTCTTTCAAAGTATATGTAAAAGCAGGCAGAAATCTGTTTTCCTTTCAGCTAGCCATGCAACTAACCTGTTGCCTGGGCTGAGACTGGAACTCCACCTTGGAAGTGATGAATGAAATTTTAAACTGACTACAGTAGCTTCTTTCTTTCTTTTTTTTTTCTTTTTTGGCACCCTTGGAGGAATGTTCTGCCCCCTTCTTCTCTTCTACAGCTGATATTGTACCTTTTGAGTTTGGATGGGAGGAAGAACCTAGATGGGCAAAGATGCTCTCGAGGCCTGTCCTAGACCCTTGATCTCAGACTGATGCAGCTCATCAATTCAGTCACCTGAATTTTCATAACTTTCTGCTATCCCTGAGCCAACTTATAGCATATTTTACAACAAAGATGTCTTTGTTGCATCTTAACCAGTCTTTTTCTGTCCCCTCAGATATATCTGCCTATGTATAAAAGCAAAGAAGATGATGCAGCTCAACTAGATAAGAAGCATGGCTTCCTCAAAGGCCACCTTTCTGGCCAGAAACTGACCTACCAGAATGGACACAGTGGAGGCCTCTTCTCACCTCCCGTGGCTGGCTCTCCACTCTGCGTCAGCTCTCCCTGTGAAGTCTCTCTCAGGATAATGGTGGGAGACTCAGACACCACAGCTGCAAGCCGGGGCATCTGTTCAGACTTGGCCATCTTGGACAGTGCATTCCTCCTTTCACAGGTCATCCCGTCCCTCCTCATGGGTTCAATTGTTCAGTTCACACAGTCAGTCACTGCTTATATGGCATCTGCAACCGGCTTTGGGTTGGTGGCCATTTACTTTGCAACCAAAGTTACCTTTGATAAAAGCGATATGGCCAAGTATTCAGTGTAGAAGGAGAGGCAAACGTTCATGCACATTGATCATAAGGAAGAGTCAATAGTGCACATGCTGCCTCTTTCTTCTTGCATTTTAATGAGTGCAAAAATGCTTTGGCTGAAGGGGAAAAATGATGGGCTGATCTCAGGGTATGTAACAAAAGGGAGTCTGGTATAATGTTGTCTGTTTCTCCTCGATGCCTTCATCAAAGTGCCTCTGCACAGAAGCCTGTGGGAGAGGCTTGCAGGTTTGAAAAATAAAGGGCCATTCTTTCTGTCACCAGGTATTTACTTGGATAGGTTTGTCAGATTGCTTGGAAGGGTAATGACACAGTGCAGAAAGGACCAAAGATGGATGATTCAAAGCTGTAATTAACATCACTCGCTATTGTGTGCATTTTTAAAATGTTGCTCTTTGTCAATCTTCATGTCATTATGCCCATGTGATGTAACTTTTTCCTGTCTTGATGTGAATGAGAAAATACATGGGAAGGAGATTGTGAGTTGGCACATCTGTGCTTTTTATGCAGGGCTTTAGGAACAACCTACTTGCTTTCTCCATTCCAGATGTGTTATAGGTCAAGAACAAGGTGGTATAAATGAGTTGAGCAGTACTGCATAGGAGGGGGACTTGTTTAGCAGAGGATGCTGTGGTTGACTTGGCAGCAACTTTGCAGTGGCATGACGGAAATGAAAATTCTGGTCATCATCTGATACTTTCCCCACATGTATGCCTTAAACAGAGTTTGCAGTTAGTGCAAACAAGGAGGCTTGCATAAACATTGGCTGAAGAACATGCCCCTCTGGGGACTTGGCTTTAAGTGACGGACTGGCACAAACAAATGACAGTGCCTTCCACTGTGTGCAAGCCTAAAAAGGAGGCTCAGTGTGGCAGCAGAGTGAAAGCACTTGCATTTCTGCTGCCTTTCCCACTTTGAGATGGTGATGTGGCCAGCTTGCCTTTGCTCAAGGACTGTACAGAAAAACCAAGGATGTTTCTGTATACCACAAGGATAGCTCCAAGCTGCATCATCTTCCAGCCTTTCTGCCACCCAGGTAGAGCAGAGGTGCTTCCTGTGCTGGGTAAGCTTCTCAAGGCAAGCTGCTCTTTCTCAACACTTTCCCTCCTACTCTGTGCAGTTTTTAATGAGCATTGTAGCTTGCAGCTATTCAGCCAGCAACATGCAGTGCATCTCTTTTCAGACTCGGAGCATAACAGCTGCATATCCTATACAGAGAGAGAGGTATGTGTAGAATATGACACTGGAAGGCCAGGACCAGGGTATAACGCTTTCCATAGGTTAGAACGGGAAGGCTGTTCTCTGACTGTAGTGGAACTGGCTCTGAGCTCTGCAGGCCTGATATGTGAACACCATGGAAATGTCAGCCAGGAAGAAGCTTGGGCAGCCTCAGGACTACTAGGCTAGGAAAGGGAGGCGTTAATTCTTTGGCCTGGCTTGCAGGACACCTGGGTTCTGTGGTGTGCCCTCCGCCTTGGCTTACATGGGCAGTTCACAACAATAATGGGGAAATCAACCATTTGCGGCTTGCCCTTAGGTATGAACTAGTCCTACCTTTTCCTGCCAAGCACCAGGGCAAGTCGCCTTTCTGAAGCTGCAAACCCAAACCACAGCTTCGGGGAAGCACTTTTGTTGGAAGCATGATAGGGAGAGAAAGGATCACCCCTCCCTTCCCCACCCTCGTGGTTCTGGGCCGCTTGATCTTCCCCTGGCTGATATTTACACAATAATAAATGATGGCCCTGGACTTGGTCAAAATGTCAGTGCCAGCTTCTTTGACTCTGTTGCATTTTGAGCCATGAGGGAATTACATAAGTACCCTCTCATTATACCTGTAGGGGTATGGAAACCATGTAGTCCAGGCCCTTCCATTTGCCAAGAGTCCCTTCAGGGCATCTTTGTGCTCTCCAGGCTATAGTACAACACAAGCAGCAACTAGGAGAAAGCTAGGCAAGCCACATCAGAGGTACTGGAGGTAAAATAACTTTATTCCAAAGGTCACCTCTGACTGAGAGGAGCCCCAGAACCCACTGTCAGGTTGTACTAGGACAGGTTGTGTTTTGTCTTTTCCAAAACAAACATAGGATGATTATTTAAAGCTGGTGAAAGAAAAAAAATCAAGCTTTCCGTCCTAAGTTCACACTAGCTTGATATAAAGTGACGGTGGCTGTCTGTGATGTTTCAGAGGGAGGAAAGATCCATTATCAGATAAGAGAATAAACTACAAACAGATTAAAATGTCTTGCAGATGGTATGAGAGCCTGTGACAGGAAGGAGCGGATCTGTGGGCCAGCAATAGGAGCAAAATGCTGTAACAGGAATTTCCCAGGGGTGCAAAGTGCTCCCAACTATCTCAGAATAGGGATGGGGCAGTAAAAGAGACAACACTGTGATTGCTGTTGTTATCCTCACATTTTTAATAATGCAGTGTCCTAAGGGCAACACCACCTGACTTGCAGCTTTGCACAAGGCCAACATTTAATATGAGATGTCGAACAAAGCCTTCTGCAGGCTGCTTTGCACATTTGGTCCAGTTGGGATGTAAAGGCATTGCTGCTGGCATAACTTGGGTATTGTTTAACTGAGGAACAATCTCAAGCAGCCCGTCCAGAAACAATCCCTGAAGGCAGCAGTCAATGCAGACGGGAAGGGGAAGGGGAAGCCGCTGCAATGTGTAGGTTGATGAATGCACACTTTGCTGCCAGACACTGCTGTGACATCCAGGCAGGGTAATTATGTGGCAGCCTGTAAGCACTGTTAGAAGTGGGATTAAAATGGAGCTTCCACATAATTGTTGCACTTCCAGGGGCAAAACTCTCCTGTAACGTTTATTCACACATTAACAAGGGTCCTTTTCAGTGTTAATTAGAAGTATCCTATTTTGGGTGATGGGGGGCATGGTCTTGTCATTTTTATTTTCCTGTTGTGCATTGAAAGGGGATTATTGGTAAATTGTCTGTTAACTGCTGCCTGAATAGCTTCCCAATTGCCCAGTGTGGGGCGGGGGGCAGGGGAGGTTGTTAGCTTTTGTTTTAAACTATAGGTTGTGGGGAGACTTAAATTTACTGCTTCTCCCATTTTTCTTCCTTCCTTAAATGAAAATACAACACTGCTGGGCTAATTAGGAGAAGGTCTTCAAGAGAACATTCAAAAACTATTAATCATTAATTGCTCCAGCAATAAAACAGCAGCTCCTGTTACTGGCCAACTTTTACTTAAAGGGACAGGAGAGCTGAAAATCTTCCATAGGCTGGCCGTGCTAGAAAGGCTTGTGCTGTGATTGCATTTTGTTGGCAAACATTTCCACAGATGAGGTCTGAAAACATGAGTGATCAACACAGAGACATATTAGGGTGCTCCAATTCGACAGTATTGCCTAGGTTCATTCTCTCTCTCTCTCTCTCTCACACACACACACACACACCCACACCCACACCCACACCCACCCCTACCCCTGAGTGGAAGCAAACTGGACTCTGTTATAAATGTGCATTCATTGTTCATGCAGCTCTTCTAGATATATTTTGCCTGTGTTAAATAGTCTGGGGAATCATGTGTCTGTGCCCAAAGGCATGTTTCTGACCCTTTAGGGTTGCAAAGCAAAGCTTGAAGGTGCATGGGTAGTACCTGGTACAACCTCAGAAATGTCAGCTGTGAGCACCAGTTGTGCAGAAACAGAAGCACAGTATTGCAGAACAGTGCAGGTGTGGCGGCTCACTCCCATAGATAGTGCTAGCTGAGTCCCCAGCTGAAGGTGAGGTGTTGCTATTTCTAAAGGTTTCACATATTAAGCTCCTCTGGAAAGGTGGCGGTCCTTCAGTTGTCCCTGTGTCCACAAATGTTGGCCCTTCATTCAAGTTTGCGGAATTGCTCATCAACCTGGCCTCCAGGTGTGTTGGGCTATAATTTCTGTCATCCCCACCCAGCATGTATGTGCCAAGACCAACTGATGGAGATGGAGATGTCAGGGCTGCTGGCTGTCTCCTCTAGACAGGAAAGGTGAATTTCCATCTCTGGAATGTGTTCTTTCTCCCAGCCTCCCCACATCTATGCATTATTTGGACTGACTCAAGTGTGATTTGGCTCTGGCTGTTTTTAGCATTGCAAATGGCAGGTTCTTCTTCACTGATTCTTCTGTGCAGCTTTTGGAAACCCCCAAACCATCACTTGGAAGCACCAGAGAGATGTTGATAGTAGCATGTCTTATAGTGATGCAAAAGTTTTCCTACTAACTGCAAATGCCTACAGAGGGGAGTGGGAGGCTGTGCTTGATATAATATGACTAGAGTTAACACAAAGCCTTCACTAATTCTTGTGCAGGCTTTATTTTAAAGGGAAAGCTTGTTTCAGGCCAGTGTGCCTCAAAACGTTGGTACCTTGGGGTTGGCCACCTCCTTTACCCCCCCAGAGCCCAAGATAACAGTTTGAGTGAGTGTGTGATGATCTAAATACCTTCAGCAAGTATGAGTCTCTGGAGTCCTTGGAACCTGTTTTAATTGGCAAAAAATAATTGTCATATTAATTGTTTAATTGTCAAATTGTCTTTCTTGCGTAGCATAAGGACCCTCCTGATGACACTAAACCAGGCTTTCCAAACCTCCCGATATATTGGGCTATCACCCCCATCATCCCCAGCCTGAATGAGCAATGATCTTGATGGTTGAGGATGAAATGAGCTGTCCTCCAATACCGCAGTAGGGAAGCCTGGTCTAGGCACTGGCTGAGAGATGATGGTAACTGACAAAATCCTTTCTCCAAACGCTTCCCGCATCCACCCATGTGTTCAGCCATCTGAAAATGGACCAACACACTTCAGCTGTTTCTGTACATTCAGTCAATGATGGCATCCATTTCACAAGTTTGTTTCTCACATAACAGGGCACAGTTTGGTGGTATATTTTCTCCTCCACTACTGCTGCACTTCATACACCCTCCTTGTTCCATACAACTGTATCTAAAGGGAATGTTTGGGCCAGTGGTTGGATGGCACCTTTACTTCTCAATAAGAGGTTCCTTTGAATCATTTTCTCTAGGGGGAGCAACTCTCCCAGGCCACATCCTGCTAAACACTGTCTGCATTTTGTTTATTTATTTACGGAAGTAAATATTTTCTACAGTTTATGTGCAGGGGATATTAGGATATTAAAGTTTATTAAAATAATCTCTGTTTAATTTACTCACACAATAAGGACTTCCTGTGCTTTGGGTGTTGAGTTGATCCGTTTTCCTTTCAGAACAGGATGAATGAATAAAACCTGAAGCTTTAAAGACAGTAATGCAGGTCTGCCTTTAGAATGCACTAGATCTTGGGTCTGCTCATTCTGAGGAACAGGCCGGATGCTCAAAATGAGGCATTCCTCAATAAGCAAGGATTAACATTAGCATATTGCAATGTACTAAATCGTAGATTTTAGTGAATGGAAAATGAACAGAGGCATTACATCATCCAATGTGAGAAGACTCCATCCCATATTTTCTAAAGAAGATATGATGGGTGAAGCTTTCTATGTTTTCTGTTTTGTCTTGAATTTTGTACTTGCTTAGGAATGCAAATAAATTGCCTGTTCCCAGATGATGAACTGTACCCTCATGGTGGGAAGGACATGCCTGTTTTCCCCGATGGTTCACTTCCTTGTAGGATTGCCATAGATAACTCCAGATTCTATGGTGGGCAGGACAGGGAAATGGCAGCAGCCTTGGCCTCCTACCACTGGTATGCCGCCCCTGAAATTCTGGGAGGGAATGCAGCCTGGTGGGAGGAAACACATTGCTTGACACTGAAAGTGATTCCAAGACTCTCCGTGCTTTTGGAAGCTCAGTGCTCAGTGCTCTTATCACTAACCACCAGAAGCTGCTTCATCTTACCTAAGAAAGAAGCTGGATGCAGTGGTAAGAAAACACAGGAGGGCTACAAATGTGTAATTCCACTGCCTGGATCTCCTGCAAAATTCCGTAAATGAGGCAGCATGATGGCACCATTAAAAGCCTAACCTGGAAGCACCTTGAATGAGACCATGAAGATGCAGAATTGTCAAGTAAGCATTGTTCTAGCTGAGAAAAATGCAGAACAACGAAGACAGATGTGTGACAAATTCTGTGATATCAAATAATGTTGCAACTAAGACAAACGTTTTTTAGTACCTGCCAAGAAGAATGAAGAGAAAGTATTGTTTTTCCCCAGGCGGATGCTGATACGAGCTGTAGCAGTCAGGGTCATGCTGGCTGACAATGCGGTAGTGTTCCTCCAAAAGCTTTGAACATCTTCAAAGTCATTCCAGAAATTAAGTAGAAAAGTAACAAGAAACTGTTGAGTGAGGAATGACTTAAAATATGGAATGCTGTGATGTTGGTAAATGAACAGCAATAATTGGATCATAGCTGGAGTGAATCACAGCTATAAATGATTATTTGGAGGAACGTGGGGGAGACATCCTTCATGTGTGTTCACATTTTTTAAAGTGCTAAAAGCATCCTGCCAGAGAGATTTGGCAAACTACATGTTAATGCACGCCCAAGCACCTTTAGTGTTGGAGGGCGATCCAGAGAAAAGGGGTCCAAAAAAGTCGGTGAAGCAATTCTTGAAAGGCCAAGGGCAGGCGTGTTAGGCAGAAAGGTTAGCTGCCAGCCTCACTACACGAGAGTGAGCTGTTCTGGCACTGAGGCGGGAACACGGGCGATCCCTCTGTTGCTGTTACCTTTTAAAAATACCAGATACCACTTAGGCTGCATAAGGCATGTTGTGCACACTTTTTCCAGTAGGTGGTGCTATAAGATGTCCTAAGGCCAGGGAACATTGCTTTTATCAGTGCTATAGTTAATGATTTAAATTGTGTGCCCTTTACTGTGTGGATTTTAGCTGACCCTTCGATTACTGTCAGTGAATCGATTTCATCAGTAGTCTTACATTCTGGGTCCAGAAATCCCCCTTTGACATAAGCTTTTGCCGGATTCCTCAAGCTTGAAATGTGAGCCTTATTCCCCAACCTGATCTTCTCCAGGCATACCTAGTTGATGTGTCTGAGTCAGTTCAAACTTACATTTGTCTAGACAAAGGGATGGGCAGAAAGATTTCCAGATACTTTAGATTTCAATTCCCAACATAACTAAAATCTGGCTATGCTGGAAAGGGCTTCTGGAATTCCACTAATAGGGCATCTTGACTAAGAAGGCTCTTCTAAGTACCTACCTTCCCTCAAGAGGGTGAGAACATTTGAAGGAGAGTTTCTGAAGATTATCTTGAAGGGGACTTTAAAGTTTAGCACCAAAACTGAATTGTGTCCAGACATGGACCAGAAGCAAGTGAAGTTCTTTCAATCTTGTAATGACCATGTTCCCATTAATGAGGTGGATTGGATTTGGCCAATGCTTGAGCCAAATTGGGCTCTTTAGACTATTCCTGTGTTTCCTAAGGTGTTGTGCAAAGTATTTGGCTACTTGGGGTTTTGGAGAGGCAATCATTGTCCAGAACTAGAATCTTTTGCTTTTGTGGGCTTTTCTACATAAGCCTGTATCTACTTTTGGTTTAGTTGCAGAAGTGAGCACTATGTGAAGAGTGTTTCCTGCTTTTCTGCTATGTAACCTCCATGCAGCATTCTGGTATAGCATGTGTGGGAAAAGCATTTACTTTCACTTCACAAATAAGACTGCATTTACCCTGCTTTAAAAAAAAAAACCTAGCAAAAAGTGCTGGCTAGACACCGAAGGACAACTACAGTCACAATGTCATCTAAAGAATCAAATAAGTAACGAATATTGTGTACCAGACAAGTGCCTTGTGTAGAAAACCCGTGTATCTCTGCATGGTGATGGGACAGAAATGATCCGATGGCCTCTAGCACACCCGAGGGAGCAGGGAGAGCTCACTTTCCCAGCTCTGAGGACAGAGGCTGTGCTGACCGAGTCTGACCCTGCCCCATCCCCTCACCACCATGCTGGCTGCTCTTTTGGACAAGCGAAAAGGGAAGGGGAAGGAATCAGGGAGGCCAGGATGCAAGCTGGTCCTAGCCTCCTCCTTTTCTCCTCCAACCCAGCCCAACTAGCAAAAATTCTGGGCAGGAGATTGGGGATGCAAAAGTTGCCTCTAGCACTCTAGCCACCCTGTAATGATCTGAGGTGTTTACAAGCATGACAGTAGGATTAGGCTCTCATACATCTACCTTCTACACTTAAGAGAAATGTTAGGAGGGGCTCTCTATTATACCTGTGAGTGGGAGGCTGTTGGAATGAATGAGAAGGAGTAGGGCAAAGATGGGACCATGAGAGAGTCATTCTTGTCTGTAACCTTCCTAGGGAGCTGTGTGGCTGATGGGGTGGGCTAAAAAAAATCAAATATTTACTTCCAATGCCATCAGCCTTCTATATGAAAAAGCAATAAGTTGCTTTTCATGCATCATAACTTCCTAGTTTTCACAAATATCTTGATACTTTGCATATTGCTGGCCTGGGGATACCTCAATAATGTGTGCCATTTTCATGCAAATGCCCCCCTCCCAAAGTGGTAGAAAGGGGAAGCAAATCAACCAACCTTGCAAATATAAAATAAAATTGATGGCCACATCATCATTTTTAGTCACACTGATGCAAGTGGAACAACTACTTGAAATTGTGTGCAAATTACAAACATGCTGCTGACATGGAAAAATATTTCAGTCTATCAAAACAATTGGCTGTTCCCTTTCTTGGGGACACCACCTGTGAAAATGTGCCGTTTAACTGTGGCAGAAAGCTGGGTAGTTCCCAAAACAAATCAAAGAAAAATTTGGGAGTGTTGGCAGCCTGCAAAAGGAGAGGTAATGATGGTACCTTCTAATTATCATTCCTAGTAAACTAATTAATCTGGCTACAAGTTAATGCAAGTACTTCAGCCTTGTGGGGAGAAAGCCCAAATAGTAATAATCATGTCATACCATGCTCTAGGGATGAGAGGATGCAACTTCCACAGAGAAGGAGTTTAGGGACTTGATCCTGTTATGATTAGCACGGAGCACAGCAAATCCCAGCTAACAGTACATTCTTCAGCTTGATAGGCCAAGTTTTATCTACCAGTATTTGTCACTAGTAAGTAATCATGCCTGGCATTTAAATATTGGGCAGCATTGAGTGTTCAAAGCATTTTACATACACTGTCTCAATAATCATTACGAGAATGCTGTAAGATGGTTGCTAGCTGCACCTTACAGGGCCAAGGGTCTGAGATAACAGTGGCTTGACTCAAGCCACATCGGTTGCAGTTCTGGTATCCAGAGGCAGTGTTAGGGGTTCAGTTTCTAGGGCTGGACTCCCAAATCTCTGGGAGGGCAGCTGCCTCACCACCCTGCTATTTGTGGGCACTTGCTGAAATTGAGGTCCAGGGACCCTGATGATCACAGTGGCATCTGATCCCCCAGATGAGTTGACTTTTTGCCCTCAAGTGCTTCACCTCTTCCTGTTTCTCTGCCTGAGGTCCCCCCACACTGGAATCAAATCTCCTCCTCTCCCCTGTCCAACTAGGGGTGTCCTTAGGAGACAGGAGCCTTTAAAACACAGGGAGAGTTAAGAATATATGTTTATTGGAATATGCAAATTAGCACTTTTTTGGTTTTATGGGCTTGAGCCCCTGATCTTTTCCAAACCTAGTACTGCCCCTGAGATGGTAGCGTAGGGTCATATGGCAGATGGGATCTCCCCCTCTGAAGTCTGTCAGAGCTCAAAGTGGGAGAAACGGTGTTACTAGGCCTCAAGTTTTCCTGCAGGCTGTTCCTACTGACACAGTCACAGCATCAGTGCTCCGAACTCTAATCTGGATGTGTGGGAAAGATGGGGAAGCACTCTGCCCATGCTTGGAGGCACTTTCTTCCTAGGCGGATCTGGCCTAAATGATGAGATTGGAAATAAAGCTGGACACAGTGCAGGGGCTGGACTGTATGTCTGCTGTATAGAATCCCATTCCACCTGCAGTTGGAGTTCTGTCTTGGCAAAGCTCCTGGAAACTGCATTCTAGTGGTGGGCCAAAACAGTGATATACTGCAGCTTAAAAAAGTTTTCATGTAAGTAACCAAACTCTAGGAGAGGCATTTCAACCTTTTAGAATAGGGTCAAAACTGCACAAAAGCTGAGAAACCACCAAATGATTTATTGCTGGAGGGAAAGTGGTGGGCTGACACTCTAAGGAAGGGCTGGATTAGGACTGCAGGCGGGGCAGATTTAGCTCTGAATCCCCACTACACGAGTTGCCCTAAGACCACTGGAATGAATTTGAGCACGGCTGAGCCGGGAAGGGGACTTCTGCCTTAATTTCAACACTACCCACACAGGCCTTATGGCTGCAGTCCTAAACTCATTTACCTGGAGCAGGGTTGACTTCTGAGTAGATGTGTATAGGAGTGCACTATAAAACACATTATTAAACTGCTCCTGCAATTTAGCTGTAATTGTGTAGTTGCAGTCTGGTTTCTTAATAATCACCTGTGTAACTCATAATGAACTGTACATTTAATGGCCTCACGTCAGTTACATTTATTTATAATTAGTTCCTTTTATTCTTTCTATCAGTCCTGGGGCATACGAAGCTGAAACCCTGAGGGTGCCCTCCTGTGCACGTTTATTCAACCCCACCCCAAACAGTTTAACAACTTGCAAAAGCCTCCCGGCATTCTCCAGCCAGCATGTATTACTTCTGTGCCGCGGTAGACTCTTTCATGCACGTCTGCACACCCTAGGGAAACTGACCGGGAAGACGCGGCTGTCACAATGCCGCGGGAAGCTCGCGCAGAGGCGGCTTGCTCGTGGGCACGGTCTCGGCAGCCGAGCACCACGTGGTCCTGCGGCCGGACGAGCCCCCGCCACCGGCTGCCCAATGGGGAGGCGAGGATGGAGCCAAGCCTTCCCGAGGGCGGGCCTGTTGCTCCGGCTGGAGCCTTCCCTCGGATCATGTGAGCAGAGAGCGAGCGAGCGAGCGCGACCGAAGCAGACGGAGTGCCGGCGGGGAAGGGAACGCATCGCCAGCCGCTCGGCGACCATGGTAAGGGTGAATGGGGCAGCCGTGCTGACGTGGACTGCGAGCGAGATCGGAGCCCGGGAGAGCTGACAGAGAGGGGCATCTTCCGGGTGCGAGGTGCATGCATTCAGCTGCATGCGAAGCACGGCGGGCCGGGGTGCCTTTCTGTGCCGGAATCGGAGGGCACCTTTTAGGGGCAACCGTGGGGGGCGACGGGGAGTAAAAGACTCACCAGGAGTTGGTGCATTGATGCCTTTTGCGCGTGAAACGCTCTGCCACCCCATCCGTTCCCAACCGCCCTCGCTTGTATCTTTTATCTACTGTGAAAGGTTTGATCTTCTCTCCTTCCAGCCGACTGAGCTGGGGGAGATTAAGACTCCTCTGCTCCACGAGGCGAGTTGATCGGCGTGTTAGTTGTGATTTACAGATTTCAGTGTGGAAGATTTCAGATCTTCCACACGGAAATCGCAAGAGCCCCGGAGGGGGGTCAGCCCGTTAGATTAATTATTTTAAGCAGCCTATTTAAGGTGCAATCCTATGCACGTTTGGAAAGGAAAAAAAGAGGGGGCCTACAACTCCCAGCATTCCCCATGACTAGCTGGGGGATGCTGGGAGTTGTAGGACTTTTTCCCCAGTCCAAACAAGCATAGTCCTCAGTTATTTTGTAGCGTGAGCGGGAAAACTAAGGACCGAATAAAGGTTCCATGCGCGATGTTAACTTCAGGCTATATGTTGCTCTGTTGACCTGCGGGACACGCGATGCGGATGAGGGAAATCTGGCTCTCCGGGGGCGAAGGACGAGCTCGCGCGGCCCTGATCGCCCAGCCCGACCGCTCCTGGCCTTAGAAACGCAGCCCCGATGGCCTTCCCCCCACCTCTTGCCTCGCGGATAGAGGCAGGCGGCGTGTTCAGCGCAGGAATCCCGCCGAGCAGGCTCCGCGCCTCCGCGCAAAGATTTGGCAATCGCGTGGAGGCGAGGGCGAGCCGCCCCACGCGCCTCGGCCCTCGCGCTGCCCTACCGGAGGCGCGGAAAGGGCTTGACTGACGGCCGACCTGCCCCGTGCCGCCGGAGCGAAGGCGGGAGTCCCAGGGGCCATGAATGGTGAGAGGGGAGGCAGCGCCGTCGGAGTAGGACCGGCGGTCTGGCCCCAAGCGGCCGCGTCAGCTGAGCGTGCGCTCCGAGGAGCCGCGCTGCCCCTTCCGTGCGCTATCTTTGACCGAGACGCGCATTCTTTCCGCCTGAGCAGCTCGTGGGGCATGAAGAGTCCACGATCATGCGGTCCCTGAATGGCGCATGGCCTTTGCGATTCATATTTCATGCCTTTCAACGCCGGAGAGATTAAAATAGGCAGGGGAGGCGGGTGACTCAGTGGGACTACTCATGCCGTGCAGCTTTTACCCTGAGCTTTAGCGCGCTACCCACAGTGGAGAACCTGTCTTGGAGACGGGGTTCAGAACCATGGAGAGCTCCTATAAAGCTTAAAGGGCAAACTGTAATGGATGAGGAGCCCCCACTGCTTGGGAGTCACCCATGGGTGAAAATGAAGTGTACTGATAACCTTGCCTCCCTCCAGACCCATCAGAGATTTACATCTGCGTAAAATGTGCATACGTGTAAATTTAGAGAGCGCTACTTAGATGCGTGTAGATTTCGCAAAAAGCTAAGCCAGCTATTCAATCTCAACCAAATGGCTTCAGATAAAATAAAAGGCTTGAATGATTTTGCACCTTACCATAGAGCATCCCAAATGAGAGATTCCTTTTCAATTACAATTTACTCATACTGGTATGAAGAGTGCAAAGAAAGAGCACAGCCGGGAGGCTTTTTCCATCAGGTCCCTTAAAAATAGCCATATTTGCACCAAAAAATTTCAATTCCAAAACAGTCTTTGCAGGGGCTCCTGCAGCAAGTGAAGAGGTTTAAGGATTGCTTCTTCAGCAGCAATCTCCCTTCAAAACAACTCCTTTGTGGAAATTAAGCTAACGAAAAGATATCCATAGTCTCAAATATACAACTATGGCCCCAAGCCTAGCAATTTTCCTATTGTTCTAGGCCTGTGGAAATTGCTTTCTCCCTCGGAAAAAGGCCATCTTCCAAGGGGAGGACAGAAGCCCCCTAATTAAGAAGAGGGTGCTTGGATTTATACTATCTTTGCCGCACGATCATATTTATTCATTTATATCGACTCTGCTGACCTAAGGGTGTTCTCACTTTTCCACCTGCTCCTAAGGATCTAGATCAGGGGTCCTCAAACTTTTCCACCAGGGGGCCAGTGGAAAGCTGCCGGTGCTGCGCATGGGCTGGAAAGGTGGTGCCGGCAGTGTGCGTGGGCTGGCGGGGGGGGGGGGGGGGTGGGCGGGGGCACGGACCGGGGGGGAGGGGGGGGGGGGGGGGAGGGGGGGGGGGGGGGGGTGGGGTGAGGTGCAGGCGGGGGTGGGCATGCGCCGCGAGGCGGGTGCAGGAGGCAGCGGCTTGCTCGTTTAGAGATAGTTTTCTCTGAGCGAGCAAACTTCTGCCTCCCCGTGCAGGGGGCGAGGTGGGCAGCAGGGGGCATGGCCACACGCGCAGCAGGTCCAAAAGGGCCTGGCGGGCTGGATCTGGCCCCTGGGCCATAGTTTGAGGACTCATGATCTAGATGTTTAGGAGTTTGTGAAAGACTTGTTTTACAGAGACCCCCATGGTATTTTCACAGGGACATCTGCATTCGTGTCTGCATGTGCCCCTGTGAAGAAACTATGCAGAGTCCTCTCTGAAAAACAAAGCACAAGAGCATGGAAAAACTCTCTTTTAAAAGGGATGGGAGTTACAAGAGCTAGCTCACCAACAGATAGCTTCTTTTAAAAGTGGGATGACTTACATTCCTCTGTTCCTGAGCATCTAGACTCCCAGGGAGAAGTGGAAAGGTGAGAGCATCCTTACAACAATGGTTCAAAAGAGGAAAGAAAGGATGGATCTTCCCACAAAGGGATGCAAATCCTGCCACCCCATTTTTGCAAGCACAGACCATTTGCACCTTTGGTTTGGCTTGAGAGTTTGTCTTTTGACAGCTGTCAAACCAAACTAAAGGTGAAAAAATTTACTAATGTCTACAATTAGTACCTGCCGCTTTTTGACAGGAAGGTAACTTTCTGAACATTGCCAAGATCAGGTTGCCCACTTCAGAACCCCTGTAAGTGTGCATGTTCATATTTGTGAAAGAGTAGGAAAAATAATTTTTAAACAAATGCATAATTGGAGGTCCTAAAAAGAATTTGTAAAATGCTTTGCAAACACAGACCTTCCAAGGTGCTGTTTGCACACTTTGAAGGAACTGCTGTCAAAATGGCTTTTGTGGTCTCTGAGGGACATAAGTATAACTCTGCAACAAGCTGAACATGGTTTGCAATGACAGCTGGAGTGGGGGGAAGGTGGTCTTACTCCAGTGTCCTCTGGGATACCTACAGGAAGGCTGAGGGGGAAGAGGGAGTAGGTAGAGCTTATTGAATGGGTAGGTTGGTGTGACATGAGAATGTGCTAATGACTGCAGTAAGCCAGAACTGGACAGAAGTTAGATCAGGATTTACTGGTGAGCTGTAGTAGATCAGCAGAGATTTCTTCCCCCAAACTGATTAATAACACAAGCTACAAATCATTAATTCTCTCTCACCTGACATTAATACTACTGAAATGATGGAAGGCTGGGGGGTAACCGGGGATGCCATTTTGGGTGAAAGGAGTGTAAGTACCATTCAATTCTGCTACACAAGGCAAATTCCAGGGCTCAGAATACTTACATTCTAAGTGAATGTCTTTTACACCAGGCTCCTGTTGTTGGATCTAGGACTCTGTTAAAAACAAACTCATAGCCATAATTTTCTTTGCAATAAACCAGTTAAAACATTTATAGAGATGTTATACACCTACCCTTCTATTTTTATCAGTCAAACCACAGGAGAAATGGGAGTGCCGGGTATCCTTTGCACTGAACATTAAAACCCAAAACAACTTGGTACTTGACCAGGTTTTTCACTTAATGTGTTGCTAGTCTCAGCTTTCTAAATCCAACACTGGCTGTGGACCAATGGCCAAAACCATTAAATTGTTCCTTTGCAGAGAAGGCCAGTGAGAATTTTACAGTAATACAAAACTTGTGAATGGGAGATGGGTAAAGGTACACATACCTACCTGAAATAATACCATGTGTTTTGCCCAGTTCTCAGAATACTTTACAAGCCTTAATTAGACTGTGGAACACTCCTTTGTGTATTGTTACATGAGCATAACCATAACCTTTAAATTATTTCTTCTTGTAACAACCCTGTACATTAGGTCAGATGTCATTTACTTCTTTACCAGATGTGAGCACTAAAGCACAGGACAAAGTCAACTGACACAGAATAAAAGCTTTTGACCCAACTTCTGCAAATCTGAACCCAACTGGATGCCCTCCAAGTGTTTTGGACTATACCTCCCATCAACCCCAGCTAGCATGTCCCATGGTCAGGAACAGTGAGAGCTGTACTCTAAAATACCTGGTGGGCACCAGGTTCAGGAAGACCGCTGTAATGCATTATGTATTGTTTTGCCTGCATTCACCACTTGGAATATACAAGGACAAAATAAAAGAAATGGAATAATTTAATTCCAAATTCATTTTTGTGTGTGTAAAGTATCAAATTTTGTCTTTTGTGATACTAGCTAGCAGACAATGAATCCTGTAGCATCCATGTGCCATTGCTCTCTTTAGTGCAACAAGCTAAAAGCATCTACAGCATATTCATATAATACAAGGTAATTTGTATGAGGAATCTATATTGACCAATCTTAGGCAAGCATGTCTTACCTGATTTCAGATAGGAGTGCATAGCATTACATGTGGTTTTTGCAATTCTTATGTAATTCATAAGTCTGCATTAGTCAGAGTGTACATCTTGTTCAAAGTGACTCTTTCCCACATTCCTTCCTGCATTAGCAGCATACACACATGATGCAAGAGAAGTTCAGAAGTGCTTTCCATATAATATATGAAAAGACCCTTTCTGCACATTTGCATGTTCATTGCTTGATTTCTCATCACTCACTCACTCACTTAATACTTGCTGGTTTGGAGCTAAATGTGAATTCTGACTGCATCATTTTAGGAACTGGAGCAGAGGAAGAATAATAGCTTGAAATATGTTTGATTACCAAAAAACAACCCCCCCCCCCCACAAAAGATATAGTATACTATTCTTTCTTTCATTCAGTGACACAAATAAGTCATCATTTGGTGTTGTGGTTCTCAAAGATGAAAATGCTTATATGAACCAACTCTCTGGGTTTCCCACTAAAATAGTGCTCCTCCTTGGTCTCTCAAGCCATTTCTATAAAACATTAAAAAACATTTACAGGGGATTATATAATGTTTTACATTCCTTTAATTGCCTGGAGGGATAAAACCCCACTCTGTTTTAGGGTAGGAACACAGGAACAGGGCAAGTAGTGTCACCGATATATTGACTGTATGTAACTCTTTTTCACTTACCCTCCTGGGGCATTCTCATACAGGAAGTATGGATGTAGTTTTGGGATAGATGAAGGCTGAAACTGAATCCAGAAAAGATGGACAGGCTCTGAATAGGGAAAGTGGATGACGTGCGTAGTGGGATTCAGCCAAATTCTAGATGGGCTTACACTCTCCCTGGAGGACCATATGTGCAGTTTGAGGGGGTGAGATTCTTGTAGACTTGCGTTGTCTGTGGAAGTGCTAGTGATGGTGGTGGTCACAGCAGTGCCTTGGAGTAGCTTAGGCTGCTGTGCCAGCTATGACCCTATTCTCAGGAAAACGGACCTAACCTTGGTCATGTGTGCACTAGCAATTTTCAGAGCCGACTACTGCAAAGCATTCTGCATGGGTCTTCCTTAGAAGAGAGCCAAGAATATTCAGCTGGTGCAGAATGCAGCCACACAAGTCCTGCTGCAGCTGGAACATATTATACCAGGCTGCACTGGTAGTTGATGCATTTCTGGACCCAAGCTTGTTTGGCCTTTGAAGCCTTTAAAAGGTTTGAGGTCAGGGTCTTTGAAGGACTGCTTCTGCTTGCATAAAGCTGTTCGTGCCTTTAGACCGCATAGGAAGTTCTACTGATTAACCCATCTTTAATATCAATTAGATGGGGAGGCCCTAGGGTCTTCCCAGCAGTGGCTTCTATCTTACAGACCTCCTTTCTAGGAGATGTGTAATTAGCAGTTCACTTTCAAATCAGGCTTTGAAAACACACCTGCCTTGAACAGCTTTACATGTATGGTTTTATTGTGGTTTTAGTCTTTAATTATTAGAATTATGTTTTCATACTAATTGAATTATATTTTAATCTTAATTGTTCGTATTTCTAAAATTTAAAGTTTTATAATATTATTACATTTGTTTGCTGCTTTGGATGGAAAAGGCAACTTATAAATATGAAACTAAATATTTAGTCCAGCAGGAGTAGGCCAGTGCTCCACTTGGCTTTCTGTCCTCAGGTATAAAGCATTCTCAGAAGTGGCTAAGGGTGAGGGCCCACAGGGATGCCTGCAAACCCTGAAGGCAGAGCATCCAGTGCAGAGGCCGAGGTGTGGCAGGGGTGAACTTTGCTTCCCTGTGCTTTTGCTCTGCATTTTGCTGGGCAGGCTTTTTTTTTTTTTTTTTTGCCTATCTAGCCAGAATGTCTTGGAGGAGGAAGGAAGGAAACTGGAAAGAAATCAGGAAACCTTGTACCTTGGCCTCCCCAGTCTCCTCTCCCCACCCCCAAACACCCCCTTTTACCCCCTCTCCAAAGTTGCTCTCCCAAACTTGGAGAGCAGCCAATGCAGTTGTTTCTGTGCCAGCAGACCTGGGGGCAGACCTCCAATGCCCAACTTTGAGGCAGACATGTAACCTCCAACCTTGAATCGAGGAATTCAAACAAACTTATGTTCCCTCAGATGTCCCCTAAGGGCAATAGGATTGCATCCTAGGTTAAGGCTTGACATGTTTCATTTAGGATTGAATTCAAGATTTAGGATTGAAAAACAGTGTCAACTGTTGATAAAATATCTAGTGACACTAACTATCAGGTTCTAGCTTTGTAAGATCTCTAGTTTAAGCTCTCTACTCCTCTGGGAAAAAACAATGAAATGCAAAGAACAGGGCATTCTCTAGATCCAACAAACTTCGGCCTTAATTACATAAGAAGTCGCTACCAAACAATCCTAGAGGGAGGGAAAAATAGAATGACACTGGCTCCTCCCAAGCACTTCACTTACTTAACAAAGATCTGAGTGGGAGTTAATTTAGCATGAAAGCAAAAGATACTGTGCAACTGTTGTGAATGGTGTTATGAAATGCATTGAGCAATGCCAGGTCGTTGACCCACATGTTGCTGTTGGTGAGCCATGAAATGCTTCTGAGTGCTGCTCTTTTAAAGGTTGGGTGTGTTTATTCAGGAATGCTTTCTTGAATCTCTAGTTTCAGCATTTATTCAGTTACTAGAATTCTATACCTCCCACTTGCTGAAATTCTTTAATTTGGAAACGTAGTAATAGCAAACATGTTGTGGACAAATCTGAAGGAATTCCATGCATTCACACCCTGGTCAAAGGCTCCTTTAGTTCTACCTTCGCACCGTTTTTTCTCCTCCTCTCTTGTAATGTTGTCTTAACATAAATTCCCAGGGTAAACTTCTGTTGTAAATTTCCATTCTAAGTAGCGCACTATAACTTTTCAAGTTTTATTTGAAATGCACTACAGACCATACGTTATGAAACATTATTTGATGCATTTGAACTGGGGACAACTTGGGAAAATATTAATGGGAATAATGTTGTGTGTTCCAAGAAAGGTTGCTTAGAGTCATGTAGCTCTGTAAATGTTAGTATGTTCTATTTGAAGTGAACCGATATGTCTTTTAATTCATTTGTCATACGTGCATGTGTAGGGATTGTCCATCCCCCTTCAGAACATTCTTGAATGCCATAGGAGAGTACACTGGAAAAAAGCCTTGAACTGGAAACCATTAAAATATATTCTCTATTGAGATATAGCCCAGTGGGTGGGTTTGCACAATACAACAAACCGCACTGCATAGAATGCTGCGCAATGTGTCTTGTTTACTGCGGGGCCTGTAATGAGCCTCACAGATGATTTGGCAGAGCAAATATCCTGAAGCGCTTCTCCAAACCCTTCTGGAGCCGTCTAGCAGGTGTCCCACAAGGGCACCTGGCGTTTTCCCCATCTTGACCTCCAATTGGCAATGGCAACGGGGGAGGGGGGAAACACAAGTAGGCTGAAGCGACGGGTGCACACTCACTGGAGTCTCTGGGCCAAATAGGCAAAACTTTCTGCTAATTTGGCCAAGAGGCAGGACAAAGCTTTTGGGACTTGTCCTGTGCTTAGCCTGTTACCCAGGTTTGGACAACATGGCAAGACCGGGGGTGGTTATGAAACACTACAACACCCCATAACCTGCTGTGGTGGCTTCGAAGCTGCAAGGAAGTGAGCCTGAAAAGAGAGGGGAGGCCGAGTTTGAACAAAATACTAAGCCACCATAAATTAATGCATTCAATCTGCTGTGTTGGTTAGGGTTGAAACACTTTGCTGAGGGCAGAATTCTCAAGCACAGTTCCATTCACATTTATTTACTCACATTTGAATTTACATTCTCTCATTTTTCAACATTTCCAGTTATGGATACAATTGGATATGAAGAGTTTAAGATACTGATTGATATTTAGTAGCAATCAAAACATGAAGCTTTATTTATGTGGCCATAGCCCATAACAAGAGGTATAAATAGATACACAGTGCAAACTTTTTTGCACAGTACGCTCAGAATTAAGAAGTTTCTTTAGGACTTAACCTCAGGTAAGTTGGTTAAGACTATCAAGAATTAAGAGTTCTTTAAAAATACATGGATAAATAAAAATAACTATAAATATCAACCAGCATATTCCCAATGAATGGCATGCAGTTTTTGCTTCCATCCTAAACAAAAACTGTTTTTTCCGCTTAAGTAACTCCTCTTTTCTACTAGCCAAAACAGAAATTGATCTTCTGAAGTTCTGGACATTGGATTTCCCACCCAACCCACCAAAAAGGAGGCCAAGAAATTAGATGATATTTTAATATTTTTTAAACATTCAACAAATATTCTTTATTCCTCAAATTTCAGAAATGAAGCCTGAAATTCACATTTCAATGATTCAATGATAAACATGTGCCCAAGATGTGCAAAATTTTATTTCAGTGTACAGGCACTTTTGGGCCTTGTTAGTGCCACACCAGGCCGAGCAGCTGATGAGGACCAGCTGGAGGCTCCTGCAGACTATGCAGTGGCACTGCTAGTGTGGAGCTGCCCTTTCCAGAAACAGGACCTCCCTTTCCTCTGGGCTACAGTCTTCTTGACTACCGAACTGGGAGCACAGGAATACCTGTGGCATAAAGTACAGCATTAATCTATCCACAGGATCCATTGTTTCAATCTAGCATACAATGTCAGTGCTTGAAAACAAGGTTCTGCATGTGCTGCAGATGTAGAAGTGTATCTGGATGCACATTTATACATGTATTTCAATAGTCATTCAGCTGGCTGGGTCTGTTCTTGGATATCCCCACCAGTGACCTGCTAATACTCATGTGCAACTTCTTGTACATGCCCAGAATTAGATTGTATATTTTACATCTAATGGATCTAGCTGGACTTCCAAGGATACTTTTGCAGGTTGATTTCACTTTTGCATTAAATTTGTCCTTATAGTATCTTCTGCTAGAAGATAAAACCTTTAAGTGTTCTGTGTTTCCTGTATTTTTTTTTTTTTTGGTTTAGTAAAGAAACTTCCTTGTGGTTGTCTTCTTGCAGGTGGATGCATAGCTTTCCAGATGTCATCCTTTTGAGCCAAACTGCTTAATACTTGTATACACAGCTACCAATGTATGTTTCTATGAGAGAGGAGACCAACCAATGGTCTCAGTAAATCATAGCAAACTGGTATCTACTTCAGGTCCCTTGATTGCCTCAGCTTCTGTTCTGCTAGGCAACACTTCTGATGCTCTTGCACCAGAGATGCCGCCATTAAATCCGCTGCAGGAGTTCAGCAGGCAACAAGAGTCTAACCCAGCAGCTATCTCCAACGCAATCTGCACATCCGAGATGGGTGTCTCTTTGTCTAAAGTGAAAAAGGAAGCTGAAAAACCACAGACAACTGTCTACGAAGCTTACCTCAAGCTACCCAATTTTTGCCCAGAACTCTCCAGAGACTTCATTCCTACACTGGAGGAGATTGAGGAGTTCCTGAATGAAAAGATGGCACTTCTCAAGGATGAACTGACTGACAAACAGCCGGTAGGAGGACAGCTTGAGATAAAATCTGAAATCAACTTGGAAAGCCCTGGAGAAAAGTCTGTTCCCGGAACTGCCCCAGATGAAAGCCTTGAAAGCTCTGCTCAAACCAGAATGGCAGCTGGTGGTACTAGCATACCGGGGACCATGGGGACTATCCCTGTCGTCCTTCAGATCCAGCCCATCCAAATGAGTGAAGGTAGCTCATCCACCCAGAGCCCTGTGGGAGGTGGTATCAGGCTGGCTCAGCTGGTCATCAAAATGCAAGGCCAGAGCATGACTGTTCTTCCTCAGGTTGTCCAGAGCCCCATCACAGGTCCAGATCAAAAGTATGTACGAATAGCCCCTTTGCCCGTGGAGCTGAGGCCTGAAGTTCTTGGAAGCACAAAAGGCATGGAGGAGGCCAAGGTCCCGAAAGCCTCCTCTTCTGTCATCCGAGTCCACAAATGCACACATCCTGGCTGCACCAAGATGTACACCAAGAGTTCTCACCTCAAGGCACATTTCCGGCGCCACACTGGGGAAAAGCCATATACCTGCACTTGGCCCAACTGTGGCTGGAGGTAAGTCTGTGAAAACAAAAGCTGCTTTCCTACTAGAGCTCTCCAGCCTTTCCATTCTGTATTTTATAGGTCAACTCTCTTGCTTTTAACATAATGCATTGCTCAATAAAGCACCTGAGATAAAAGTAATGCTCTTCACGTATTATAATTGCTTTAATTGTTTCTCCCAGCCAAAAGTGGAAAAGTATGTTTCCTCAGAGGTTGGTCCCACTATGTTCTATGAGGCTTTTTTCCTAGTAAGTATGTATGTTTAGGATTGTAGCCTAAGTAAAGTCAACAGACTAGACAAGGTCTGAAAAATAATTTAAAATATATTGTCTAAACAGAAACACACACACACACACTGGGCACAATCCACAAGGATTTTCTGTACAGTCTTCATCAATGTGGGTAGGAACTCTGCTAGAGCATTTATAGCAAACTCTGGCATTTTAATAACAACACCAGCTCCCTTCTACAGGAAATGACTTTATGAAAAAGTCACATATTTAGTAAACAGCATGTGACACTGCTGTTGCCATTGCTATGATTTAGTTAGTTATTAGTGTTATTCTTTCATCCCTGATCTGAAGCTGCCTGATTCTCACACACACACACACACACACACACACACACACACACGAGCAGTAATGTTGTTCTCCTTTTGTCTTTCCTATCTGGCAGGGTTTTAGTGTCTTTTATGCCTGCCCAACAATTAACAGCTAACAGCTGGTCCTTTTCTTGGGGAAAGGATAACAACAAAGTGGTGGAATGCATGGTTTGTATGGGAAACACCCCAGTTTCACCACGCAGCATCTCCAGGGACTGACTGGTGTAGGGAACCACAGACAGCTGCCGCCAATCAGTGTAGACCATGGGTCCTCAAACTACGGCCGGTGGGCCGGATCCAGGCCGCCATGCCCATTTATCCAGCCCTCCTCAGAGGTTTTGGACTCGCCGCGCGCGCACACACACAGTGAGGCACGGCAGCGGCTTGTTCACACAGAGATTGTTTTGGACTCGCTCAGAGAGAATGGTCTCCACACGCTCACACCCCCGCACCACCTTGGCGGCCTGCGCCCATCGCCGGCGCCTTTCAACTGGCCCCCTGTTGAAAAAGTTTGAGGACCCCTGATGTAGAGAGCACTAAGTTAGATAGACCAATGGTTGATCTATGGGTTGCAGTTACAATGGGTTGCAGTTACAGTGCCAAAACCTCTGAATTAGCAGGGGTGCTGACATCATCAGCTGCCGGGTTCGGAATTCCATGTGCCCACTGAGCTCAGCTGCAGTTTTTGTGGTACCTGTTTCCCCAGTAACAATATGTGCCTTTGTTCTATCTGTGTTCCTGTGCAAAGTATTTGGGGTTGGCTTGATCTTGACTAAGCAATGAAGACCCTTTGTCTGAATTTGCATGTTATGCTAAGACTCGCTGCAAATAAGCTATTTAGTGAGGGTTGTTTGTGGTACAGTACAGCTAACAGGCTTGCTGTACCCTTCCTTCCTCCTCAGATCTTGCAGTAGGACCTGGTTTGCCTCTGCTTCCTCACTCTGATCACTACCCCTTTTCACTCACTGCTGGGGGTTTCTTCCCAAAGTGTCAAAAATGTGCCACTGGGAATGTGGGGCAAGAAAATTGCACAATTCTGTTTGACATTTGTTGCTGTTATTGGCAGTCTTTCACAGGTGTGGAAGTATGTTGATATGTGTGGGCTTGTCTGATTGATTTCCTTATATGTTTCTGCTGTTAAAAGGAGTTGGCAAGTGTAGTGGGTAACATACATAGAAACTGACAAGGTGAGGCTGTAATGGGTTAATTTTTGCACAGATGTCAGGGTCCCGTTGCCAATGGAAAGCAGTGAAAAGGGAGGGGGGCAGAAAAGAAGGTGCTTTTAGCAATATAATTCTCCTGATTTTACGTGTTGAACTGACTCTTTTCAGCACCCTCCACCTTTTTAACATTTCCCAATTCTTTCCTTCCCCTTAACTCCTCGCCTTTTCTTGGCTTTATTTTGGAATACTTAGTGCTGTGGTAACTGCAGGTCCCTAACAGTACTAAAACCCCCAAGAAAAGTAGCCAATTTAATGGATGGAAAATAAAAGGAGGTCAAATGTGCAGCAATTTAAAGGTTGAGGAAGTACATTAAAAATAAATTTGTGTACATGTAGAAGATGTTCTGTTATTATAGGTACACAAATATCCCCTCCACTTATTGCCTTGATTTAAATTGGCACACATTTACTCTTCATCTGTTTTCCAGATATTAAATTGACATATATTTCCTGGTCCAAACATAGCAGCAGCAGCAACAATAAATTATGAGCAGATTTGTACAATATTCTGGGGCCAAAAAGAAATGATGGTCCCCTCCAAAGTGCTGCTTGGAGATTAGTAGAGGAGCTGTGATTGGTGTTGGCACAGAAAAGATCATGAAGAATAGCAGGAGTATTCGCTGCTCTAGCTTGCTGCTCTACGCAATCCCTACAACTCACAGTGAAATTGCTGTCCCATGTTTGGTTGACACAACAACTCACAATAGACTAAACAACCTCTAGAACAAGCCACAGCTTGTCAGCACAGCTTGCTGCAAGACAATATGACACTGTATAGGAAATGTTCTGGGTTTGGCTGACATGGCAACCCATTGTGGCTCATTCCCCATGTCATGTTGTGGGAACCCAGTCATTGGCTTTACAAACATGCTGCTACTAGTGGAAGTAAGAGCAAGTCGACATTGGTCACCATAACTCTTGGCATTTTGGGCTCCCCTTGAAGGCATGGCTTTGGGGATTGGAATGATGAGCACATGGACTTCAGTAGCTACTATCTCACCACTGAATAGAAGGCAAACTCCTTATTTCTTAGCAGCACAGGAAAAAGCTTCACATCTTGAATTTTTGCTTGCTATTGTGAAACCGCTTAAAGGCCTAGGAACCCTGCTGTGCTAGGAAATCAAGGTGGTGACGCTAGCTTCCCCACCCCATGGAATTATGTCCAACATGCTCTTTCAAGCAGTTGCATAAATAATTTAATCTCCAGTGTTTCTGTTTATGCCAGAATCCCTTCCTTTAGTAGGGTGACTGTAGCCCACAGGCTTATAGTTGATATTCCACCAAAACAAGCACACAACAGGACATTTTTCTGTCCCCTTTATCCTTGTCTTTCCAGATTATAGGACACATCTTATGGGATAAATTTTGCAAAGTCTTGAGAGATTGTTGGTGTGCATGCCTGTTGCACATGTATCCCTTTCTCAAGCAGATGGTTTTCTTTAAAATTTAAAAGCCTCCAGCTGTCATGAGTGGAGACTTTCAAAATGTAGAGAGATTGCTACAGACAAATGTGCAATTGTCTGAGCTTGCAGAAAGCTTTGCAAGAACGTCTTGGAGCTGGGCAGCTTGTCCGCATGGTTGCTTGTGGTAAATGGAAGATGGTGGAAGGTCTATATTGTTTACAAAATAGGACAGGCACATTCAGAACTTCTGCTCAAGGCATCTGTTGCATGCTTGTGATTCCTCACTCATATTGGTTTATAGGTTCTTTAAAAGATGTTGATCCTCCAGTTTCGCCTGTTTTTTTTTAAAATATTTATTTATTTAGTGGGAGAAATGGGGCATCATTTCTGAAAGCCTTGCATTTATTTGCATTGCTCTGCTCTAGCACAGCTCCACCTACAGTTCATGTAGCAAAAGAGCAAAAAGCTCTGTGTCCAACTCAGAACACAATTCTGCAATGAAACTGAATGTAGGTACAGTGATTAACTGCTGGCAGGCTCCAGGGGTGCCAAACAAGGAAGGAGGCTGGGTAGGACTGATCTGGTGCTGGTGCTGGTGCTGGGAACTAGCTTCCCAGCATCATCATCAAATCAGCTCAGGTGTGCGTGTGTGTGTGTGTGCCGCTGCTCTCAAGCAGCCTGGAATCTCTGGCTGCACAGGGGGAGAAAGAGAGGCTGAGTCTTTTGAGGAAAGACCATAGCTCACCAAGAGCCTGTTTAGGAAACAGAGGATCCTGGGCCAATGTGAAAACCTCCGTGGCAGAGTAGACCAAACTCCCACAATAGTGCTGCTTTGAGTCTAAGCTAGCATGGCCAGTAGTCAGGAACAATAAGAGTTGTAGGATGAAATCTCTGAGGGCACCAGGTTGGGGAAGGCTAGAAGATGGACAAATAGTTTGATCCAGCATTGCCCATGATTGCCTCTTAAGCAACTCTTGAGGTGGTAGGAGGAAGAAGGGTGGAAATAGTGATCAGAAGGATGCACACTTTGTTAGAAAGGCAGGACTCTTGGGGGTAGGGGTGTTCCTGGATTCTGAGGAAGCTTTTTGTGAGTCCAATCTCTTCCCCTACCTCAATCCCACCAATAATTATTTCTGTGTGGGGGAAGGAAGAACTGCAAAGCAATAAAGAGAGTCATTCCCACAATTTCTCACAGTTTTCATTTTATACTGCTATATCAAAACATCCTAGCAAAGTGCAAGAAAGGCTCACCAAGGATAAATGAATGGAGTAGGCTTGTATGGAGCACAGACTTTTCATCAGAAGGTTGCAAACATTTCAGGGAAAGGTTAAGCTCAGTGGCAGAGCACATGGTTTGTGTGCTAAAGCTTCCAGTTTCAATCTCTGGCAGTTCTAGTGATGGCCAGGAAAGATTCCTTTCTGAAAATGTCAACCAGTGTAGACGGACAACTAGTGGTCCTCTAGATGTTTTGGCCACCAGCCCCATAAGATCTTTCACCATTGGCTATGTTGGCTAGGATTGATGGATATGATGGGCCAAAACAGGGCCTCAAACTGCTACCCTGGTATAGGCAGTACTGAAATACACAGAGAGATAGACCTGACTGTTACAAACTCCTAGGTTAAACTAAAGCTATAGGGCTGGGAAGGTGTAACAGTTTACTTTTTCTTATCTCTAAGAGCAAGGGAGTGCTAGGTTTTTGCTTTCATTTGACAAATTGCCATTCTTTAATACAATCTTCATTGCCCTGGTACTTTCCAGATGCTCTCCCAGCATTCCCAGCCAGCATAGCCAATGGTTAGTAATTATGGGACTTGTAATGCAACACATCTGGAAGGTACCAGGTAGGGGAAGACTGTTTTATTTATTTATTTATTTAGACCATTTATTTTATTTATGCCGCCCCCATCGTAACAAAGCCTCGGGGCGACTCACAACATACATATACTTTTTTTATGTATTCATGTTTTCATGCTTGTGGCAACAAACTGCCTGGAGGTTTTTTTCTTTGCCACTTTGTCAATCTCTGTAGCATTTTTTCTTAACCTGTAGGCTAAAAACTGCAGGCTATCAGAAATCATAAACAGGTGCAGAATGACTTGAAACCCAAGAGCCAAAGGCAACAGAAGTAAGGGCAAAATGCTACTATATTTTAGCTTAAAGTCTTACTGCTAGTAACTGAGCCTTAGGAGAAGCATTTCAATCTTTTCCAACTGGGAAAAGCACAGCACAAAAGCAGAGAAACCACCAAAACAGTTGGTGTTGTCAGGGGAAGAGGGCAGGGCTAGTGGCAGAACCCTGGAGGATCATTTGGCCCCAAAGCCCGAAGATCTGCATTCCTGCTCAAGAGGCTCCTGTGTGATCTTGGCTGATCTGTTTCCTTCCAGCTTCCTTTGGCTGTAATAACCTGAAACCTTGGAATGCATTCCTGCAAAAAGTTAGTATTCTCCCCACCCCCTTGGAGCCCTGGTAAATGTATCAGGAATCTGTTTGATCTCTGCAGTGCTCTGTAAAGAGACTCCTCTGCTGTGCTAGATATGAGTTCCAAATGTGGATGGAGTGTGGGAGAGGATGAGCATAGCAAGTGACTGACACCACATTCTTTTGTGCATTATGCATAAGCTCTTCTAATGGCTTCACCATATGTTTGGGGCACCAAGAATGCACAGTTCTTTGAATCTGAGGGCCTGAATTCTTTTCCTGCAGCATGCATGTTTCTCTCTGATAAGGGCGGTCCTTGGCTCTATAATGTCCGTTATAATGGAACTAAACTTTGAAGTATGTTTCTGATAGCCCAATGAGGTAGAAGAGGTTTCATATCTACCACTACGTGGCTTATTCAGGATCATATGGGTAGTTTGTGACATGGTCAAGAATCAAACTTGGATTCCTTCATTCCAGGGTAGTGGCTGCAAACCTTTTTCAGTGATTACATATTTGCCTTTACTAGATGCAGAAAGTTCTGAAGCAAGAAGGGGTTTAAACAAGTTTCCCCTCGCAATGTTTCCCTGCCTGCTTGAGGAGCATTGTTACCAGTTTCCAGGTGGGATCAGAGCCCTCTCCCCTTGGAGAAGAAATCAGGATAAGAAGTGAGAAAGGATAATTTTTTCTAGGTACCTAGGAGGAGAGGATTGTAGCCCCTTTTCTCCACCCGACTGGGTGAAAAGTAGCAAATGAGATGGAATATAAGGGCTTTTCTACAAGAGACATTTAAACCAGCACTTTACTGAAACAACTTCTGTTTCATTTGCAGAAAGATTAGCACATCCTTCACATGATGACTTTTCCCCCCTTGGGTTTTCCTCTCTGCCATTCTGTGTGTCCTTGTATGTTCCATTACATAGTACAATGACACTGTAGTATAGAGCAGGACTGCAAATTAACAACACACATCTGTAACAAATAATAATGACATCCAGAAAAATACTGCATTTTCCTTGCTGAAAGAAAAAGTTTTGAAAAATCAGTGTAAAATATGGGAGAAGCCCTAGAGGATGACAATATTGTATAAAGGACTCACAAACTTCCATGAGTGAGGGATTACAAGCAGACAATTAATGCCCCTGTGGAGAAGCTGCAAGTACAAAGTGATACTCATTCAGCCAAAATACCAGACTGGGTCTTCCCTGACCTCCGATCTGTCAATGACTAACAGGAAAGAGAAGGTTGGGGCCACTGAGGATTTTAACACCTTTTTGTAAATCCAGCACTGGCTTAGGCTTTGTGAGTCCCTGAGGAAGACACCCTCAAGGAGCTCCTCCCTCAGTGAGTTAACCTTCCCACCACCCTTGTCACCAGCTCCTATTGTTCCTCGGCCTCTTTCTCACTACCACCAGCACAGGTTTGCTTGGCAGACTGAGAGTCAGTAGGGAAGCATGCAGTGGTGTCCACCGCTCCGCAGTATCACTGTCATTGGGCCAGAGTAAGAGGTCAGTGAACATGCAGGTTGTAGCGGTGAAGGTGAGGAGCAACTCCAAGGGGCCTTGTCAGTGGGCTTCTGCTAGGGTATGGCTTGTGGCACGGGCCTGGCCTTGTCTACATTTGACACCAGCCCGCTCCTGTTTGAAGACTGTTTTGGTTATTCAGTCTCCAAAATGATATTATGTAACTGGAAAAGGGGCAGAGGGGGGACAAAGGGCTGGAACATCTCTCTTGTCTATAAAGCTAAAATTTCTGGTACTTTTTAGTTTAGGGAAAAGAAGGTTTATATGTGTATCCTGAGGTTTGTCTATTTATGAATGGTGCAGATAAAGTAGATAGAAATTGCTCTCTATCTGTTAAAGGTCATCTAGTGAAGCTGATGGCAATAGATTCAAGACAAGAGAACCAAATTTGTCTATGCAAAGGCCTCCAAAAATTCTGGAACTGGTGTTGCACCCTGTATAGATATGACTATTTAGAGTTTAAAAATGGTACTCCTCGTTACTTATTTGATCTTCTTATCACAGAGCGATATTAAGGACAGGTTTGTCAGCCTTTTGCTTCTTTAAATTATGAGCTCTTTTTGAAAATAATAATTGAAGAGCTGAAAGAGGTACAGAAGGGACTAAGCTTAGGGTGGTTTTATTAATTAATTAATTAATTAATTAAAACATTTCTATGGTTGTCAGTGATTCTTTGCATTACATCAAAGTACTGGTCATCTACCCCAGACTTTTCTGCTTTGGTAGATAGCAACTTTCTGTGGTCTTTTCCAGTCCTGCTCACCAGCTGAAGAGCCTTTGGAGAAGCTCTGAGACGGGACTGAACAAGATGAGGATTTTATTTCTGAGAACTGGTGGGAACCTCCTGCCCCTTCAGTTCAGGTTGCACTTACCCCCCTCCCGCTGCCATCCTCAATCACTGGGCTGTAGCCAGGGGGCGCAACATGTAGCCCCGCTAATATTGTTGGCCTGGTGATCACATCGTTCTCAGCTTTGACTATGTGCCTGGGGGTAATGGGAGATGCAGCCTAAAAACACAGATGGCTCACCGCCATCCTATAGAAAGACTTGCTTCTTTTGAAGCAAGTACATTGCATGCATAGCTATCCTTGCATATCTAGGTATGGCTTGAACTGTATTTTCTTGTGGCTGGCTTATTTGAATTGTCTTTCTTGTGATGGCCTGTGGTTTTAATAATGTGTTATAATGGAAATTATATCTTTGTTTTATTATTGCAAGTAGTTTTTGGATTACTACACTCCTGAAAGGTGGCTTAGAAATACTTTGAATAAGTAAACAAAGACAAACATCTGACGCCGATAAGATCTGTATTTCAGCCCACATGCAGAAACTGGGGTGCTATGGCCAGTCAAGAGGGCAGATTGCCACTTCAAATGTAACACTCTATCCCACATGTGCGCGCAGGTGCTTTCTTGATATGCAGCATATGACATGGATCTCCATCATAAGTTTGAAAGTATAGAATGGTTTGAAAGTATAGAATGGGCAACTTGTGGACCCCAAAGGTTTTGGCTTACAACTCCCATGTTACTACCCCTCTCATAACCTCATTGGTCATGCTGACTAGAGGTGATGGTCATTGTTGCTCCTCATCCTTCAACCCATAATTCCTGGTAAGATTGACAAAGCAGGTATTATTACTGTATATTGGGGTGGGAAACCCTTTTTTCTATTGAAACTGCATTCTCTTGGGAGCAGCCTGTCCTGGGTCAAGTGCCAGTGGTATGTGAGTCTGAAGCCCGGCGTGGGCAGAACCAGAGTCAAAAGTGTGTGAGGACACCTTACTCATCACCTTGCTGCCATCCCTTCTCTCTCTCCCTACCTTTCCACCCTGTCCAACAGGTTTCCAAGGAAATGAACAGATTGCCGGAGGTCCAAATCGACCCTTGCAGAGGGCTTTTTGAATTAGAACAGCCATAGGTTGCCTGTTCCTGCATTCTATCGCTCCACTCATAGACATCAGCCGGGTTGAACAAAGGCCCCTTTACAATTAAAAAGGAAAACATTTCTGACTGGGGCTGTTTTTGCTATGACATTGAGAAGATTGGCAGTGAGATCACAGCTGGCTTTTCCCTGAATTATTATGTATCATTGAACAAACTATGTTTCCTTCTGCAAGGCTGTGTTCCTCACTCTAAACAGAAAAAAGAACTGTGTGAAAGGCGGAAGACTTTGCCAATAATTGTCAAGGTCTTTGAGTTTCTTTGTTGGGAGGTGCTGCTGGAACTCAATAAAAAGGCTTGCTGCCTTGGCTGTTGTCTCATGTGTGTGCCCTGGTTCATGTAACTAAAAACTAAAAAGAAGGAAAGGCTCCAAGAACAGGGAGCAATATAATCTCAAGGGTTGACCAGAAGGAAGGGCCAGGCATAATGAGCCATTTCATCTTTAATCTTGGGGACCTCCGAAACACCATTCCTCCTGTTCTCTTGGCTCTTGTATGGCACATGTTTATACATGTTCATGCTGGTTCATATGCTCTACCAGATTTGAACAAGGGGAACCATCTGCTCGATTATCTGTTCTACTTCCCAGAACTTTCTCTATTTTGTGGTTGCTTTATGATGGCGCTGGGTGAAAAAATGGTTCACACAAATGCACCATAAATATCTGTTCTTTTGTCTGGCAGGTTTTCCCGGTCTGATGAACTCTCTCGCCACAAACGCTCTCATTCTGGACTCAAGCCTTACCAGTGCCAAGTGTGTGAGAAGAAATTTGCCCGGAGTGATCATTTATCCAAACATACAAAGATTCACAAAGGATCTTTAAGTTCCTTTGGAAGTCGGACAGCTCAGGGTTGTATGGGTAATAGTTAACCCTTCCTTTGCTGCCTTGCCAAAAGACAAATTCCAGTAAATTCAGATGACAAATTGAAATATAAAAGATTGTTTTCCTTTTGATTGAGGAGATAAGGAAGTAGTATGTTTTTATGGAACCCCCAATGCCTACCTCTACCAAATTGCCTTACAATCAGGGCTAGCCACCAATTCAACGTCTCTGATGCTTGTGAACTTGTGTTAAATAATAATTATTACATTGGAGAGAAAATGTGACAGTTAAGGGTGTTGGAGTGAACAGTGTGAGTTTCTCAGTTTTCTCATTAGAACATTATTCTAACGTTCCTGTGAGGATGGATACATGGGGGAAATATACAAATATTAGCATTTCTTCTTTGGTTGCTATGTACCTGATTGTTTTGTCACTGACTCTAAAACTGAGATGAGCAGGAGAAAGTTAATTTCAGTGGAAATACCATCATATGGGTTCACTAAAATTACAAAAGTGAGTCTTGAAATCTGGATCTCGGATTCTAACATCACATTTCTGTATGAATTCCAAGTTCCCAGTTTTAAAATATGAGCTACACTTTCCTAAACATGATTATTTTGCCACCAAAAGCAGGCTTCATACTGTTTGATGTAATTTGCCATGGTTTTAATTGTTTGTCTTTAAGGAAATGAATTGCATCTTGCATTACTGTGAATCACTGTTGGCTCTTACAGACACAACTGAAATGCGTAGTATTCTGTGAACTGTAACCTGCCAGTGCCTGAGAATAGTACCCAAGATGAAATGTGTGCACATGTTGCTTTTCTTAGAGGAAGTGTTGCATGGTAAGAAATGTAATCTCTTCTGCCTTTGTAATAAGGCAGGCAAGAATGTTCAGCATTTAGCATTCTGCAGCTAGTCTACATGGCTCACATGCCTTTCCCATGAGCTCCTCTTGATCATTGTTATACATCCAAAATGGTTCTAGTGTAAAGGGGTTGGGCTTACTTTATTTCTGTTCCACATATAATAACTTCCCTTGCATCCATACAAGGCGATACCCAGTGAGCTTCGTGGCCAAGGGGGGATATAGACCCTGACCTCCCAAGTCCTCTGTGCAGCCCTTTACCACCTACCCCAGGTGACCTTCCATATGGCAATGGCTGGGTTAGCATGTTTACATAGAAACAGTGCGAGTCAGAAGGGGCCATCTAGTCTGACCCCCGGTTCCAGCTGGCTCTGCTCATGACATGCCCACCATGTGCTCCATCCGCTCATGACATGCCCGTTACTGGTGAAACCCAATGGTTTCTTTTCCTCATTGCACCCCAGTCACACTCTGCATGATTTCTCTGATTACTTTTGTGGTGTGCAGGTAGATGTGCCATCTGAACCTGAAGAGGCGTGGGTGGTTTCCAAACTGCCCCATAAACTATGGTTTATTGTAAGGCTCTGAGGTGGTTTGGAAGCCAACCCATGTGTGATTGTGTGGCATGTGATTGGCATGCATGAGGGCGGGGGGTGGGGGAAGCACCGTGGCTTTTTTCCCGTGATCATGCAAACTGGCCAATGTTTTATTTAGCTAAATCAACACAATTTTGTGGAACCATAAAGATGAAGCAGCGTATTTTGGCATCAGCTGCTGCAAGACTCTGTCATTTTTTGCTGCTCCTAGCACAACTACTCTTCTGGACGTTGTTTCTTTAGTTAGGCATTCAGCGTTATTTATGTGCACTCTGCGGCTGTTGCTGCAAAGGAAAGGAATCTTTAGCTGGGCACAGAGGAAGGTCCCTTTCTGCAGCTGTAACTGACTGCAACAGCATGCCTTGCATCTGCACGAATGCATTTGTTTCTTGTGCATCTCCAGCATTTCTCTGGACAAGCGCCTGCCAGCAGATGAGAACAATCATCCGCCAAGAGTAGCAGCCTGCACTCTTGCATGTTTACTTGAAAGCCTGTGATTACAAGATGTGTCCATGATGGAATGTCTTGTTGTTGCCTGCCTTGGCTGTTTGAGCCTCCTTCCCCTACAGGCACCTTCTTTTTTCAGCACATGCCAGGCTGTGTGACTCACACAACTGCCTTCTCCTTTCCTTGCTTCAGATCACTATACACAAAAACTGGATTTTCTCTTTGGTTTCATTATCCCACACTGCCCTGTCTCAGTCTTCAAGTGTGGCTGAGAATGAATGTATTGAGAATTTCTGCTGCTGTTACTTCTCCTGCTGAATGAGCTTCTGTTGGCCAAGTCACTAAAAGAAGGATTTTAAAGTAGCTCCTATGGAAAATTGCATGATGGCCATGTTAGCTATTTAAAGTCTCCCCCTCCCCCAAGAACTCATGCTCACAGGTGCATAAATCCAGGATTCATGCCCAGTCAGGCAGATAGATATATTTGCCTATGTCACTGTAGAGGAAAAACAAACCAAACTGGCCTACAACCTGGCAGAACGACTTGCCAACCACAGCGTTCCTTCTGAAAAGAAAATGTGTTCAGGCAATCCATGTGCTTCCCACTCCCCCTTACTCCTTTCTTCTTAGCTTTCACAGGAATAGGATGGATGATAGTTTGGCCGGTTGCTTCCCAAGGACTTGTTTATATAGCAATCATTTATCCAGGGATTACAGTGTCTTATCTCACTTTGGCCCCTGATTGACTTCTTGACTATATAAATAAATTCCACATTCAAGAAGGCAGTCAGCGGTTGATGAAAACTGAGACAGTCCACAGCCTATAGTAAAATCAGATATTTTCTCTCTCTCTGCATCATGGCATATGTGATCATGTAAATACTACCAGAGCTGTTAACTCCTACCAGTGCTGAGACAAGCATCTCCAGACACAGCATGATTTAAAGGGGTAAGGAACCTAGATAAAACTGGCATGGAAACCCATTTTGCTGGGCAGGGAGTAATCTGTTGCTTCCACAAAAAAACCTTGAAAAGAGAAGAACATTGGCCTTTAATGGGGAAAAAAAGTCTGCCTGGCAAGGAAACTGTTTTCAGATGGAGAGTAGGGATGTGGAACATTTAGGTGACCTTTGCTTCATGGCTATGAGTGTCACATTTTAGGACAGTCAAAGGCAGGAATTATTGGGGTTTATTTAGCTTACTTGTCTTATATTTGTCCTTGGCTTATATTTAATGCATATTGAATGGCATGGAGGCAGAAAGAAAGACTTTACACAATACTTGCTGTGTATTGTCATGTGACTAATCCAAGCACCTGGATTCCCTTGTAGCACATGAATTTTCCATAGCTGTACCTACACAAGTGGCAGAAGAAGTCCATAGGACTGCAAAAGCTATGCTGTTCTGTAGTTACTAGCTAACCTCATAAAATACGTTGCATGGATCATCTTTTACCAATTGCCTTATGTCCCACGAAATAATTGGAAACAGGAAACCTTATAGTACGCAAGGGATGTGATGTGCCATTTAGAGACAGGTCGGGGATGAGCAGAACAAAATTCAGACTGCATATATGCTACAAGCAGAATGCAAACGCTGAACACTCAAACACATAGGGCACATATATGCAGCATACTGTTCTTATACAATGTAGAAGATATTTATCTCATTCAACAGGTGGATAAAATTAAGGTATTCAGATAACTGACTAGTCCAGTGTCAGTCACTGAACCCAGGGCTAAAAAAATAATTACTCTTGAAGAACTGTAACTATCATTGGAATGATACTATATTAAGAATAAGTGATGCAGCATTCCCTGCTTGGTGCCATGATGCATTAAGTCTCTGAAATTCAAGATGGTGGTGGTGGTGGTATAAATTCTAAAGTTTAGGACAAAGCACATGATGATGCTCCTTGAAACTGAAAGCACTGTAATCCTACACACATTACCTACCCACTTAACACCAATAAATTCAGGGAGACTTTCTTCTGAGTACACGTTTTGAATAGTACTGTAACAGCTCAATCCTAAGTAGGTTCACTGAGAAATCAGTCCTATTGCCCTCCATGGAACTTATTACCTAGAAAGTTTATTTAGGGTTCAGCGAAGAGGCAGGAAGAAGAGAATGATTTTGAACAGCACAACTGACACGCAATGGATTTGTAAGCCACCTTGTGGAGCAACTGGGCCAAAATGTGGGGTAGAAATATTTGCATTTGCACAGCACTGGAAGTTTTAAGGAAAGTGCAACTGTTTCCAGATTTCCAATCAGAGACAGCTTTATCAATAGGCAGAGGATGGTGGCTGATGATATGGGGAGTGCAATGAGCTTTTGGAGGATATCTAGCCTGTAAATGGCTGCCCTGAGATGCAGTGGAAGACACCATCTGTGTAGAAGAATGATTGACCTGCTGGTTTGGAGTATATGGAACGGGGAGGTCTGATTTCTGATTATGCATAGGATTGTGCCCTTATTTATCCTAAATGTCTTTATCATTATCTGAAAAAAAAATACCTCCCCTTATTTTCATATACTCTAATGTATGGAGACACCCTTTGGCTGATGATTCATGTGGCATAGGCAGAAAGGAATTAGGAACAGGGAGGGGACAGGAGAGGACAGCAATTGAACTGTAAAGAGAAGAATGGGTGGAAACATTAAAACACAATGGGCAGTAGTTACCAGGGACAAGCAGGCTTAGTTTGCATCACAGTTCACTTGGGCTGAGACATAGAACCTTGCTTACAATCTTTGAAATTGTGACCTGCTTAGAAAAAGAACCAAGGTATCCATGTTGGCAGTAAGAAATTTCCAAATTCCATACAGATTTGGAAATTAATTTTAGGCCAACTGCAAGGTCACCAAAAATGTGCATGTTTCTGAGACTACCAGATCTCTTAATCAAGTTACAAAAGGCAAACTGGCAAGGTGCAGAGGGAGGAGGAGGGAAATGGTGTTTTCACTTCCTGTTCAAAAATTTCTTGGGAAAGGTAGGGCAGTAACACAAATGAAGTTTTTTATATGTTTACTGCCTGCACACCACAGTGGTAAATGTAACATAGCGTGAAGTGAAAAATGCATACCTAAATAAGCATTTGCAAGTTGGCTAGAAACCTGCCAACATCATGCCCCCGTCTCACATTTTATGATGTTTTCTGCTGCAAAAACTTGGTACGCTGAAGGCATACATGGAATTCTGTCCCGTGTGAATCTCTTCCAAATTCCTGCAGGTCTGCCTGGATTGTATCCAATCTGAATTTATCTGCACTGCACTCACAGATTAAAGTAATGTGAAACCTGGAATGAGAAACAAAGATTTCCAAAATAGGGCTTCCAGCCTACATTTTGTATCTTATCTTGGTTGGGCAACTACCATGTCATATCCCCAAAGAGTGAAACACGTTGCTTTTTTGCCTTCTGTTTTCTGTTGCTGTTGCAATGTTCAGTTTTCTGGATTTTAGGATGCAATCCTATGCAAGTTTAGAGGAGAAAGGCCTACAATTCCCAGCATGCACCAGCAAGTCATGCTCTTTGGGAAGTGCCTGGAATTGTAGGCCCCCCTTTCCCCTCAGTCTAAACGTGCACAGAACTGAACCTTTATACCCTTCTTAATGTAGCCAAATCAACCTTTCTCCCCTTTCTAGCTCTATAGCAGGACCTCCATCATTCATCCTTTAGCCATTCTACCTCTGACTTCGAGATGGATGGATTCTGTTACTTACTGTATGTAGACAAACAACTGCGCTGGAAACCATCAAGTCAAAGAACCAACTCGCATCTATTTTATAGTGGCCCTGATGAAGTCAAGAGCTAATCTAATCTCCGCCCTCCTCCACTGGCAACATGACCTTGCTAATGTGGTACCGGGACAACTTTTACTGGGAGTGGGGGCAAAATTTGTTCAGAATACACATTTCATTTCACAAGTAGCATTCAGCAATGTTCCTTTGTCTTCGACTATTCTGTCCTCCAACTATCACATGCATGTGCTGCATTGGATAAATCCTGCTTCCCTGAGAATATTAAAACATGGCAAATAAATTAACCAATGGGGAAACTTCATCATTCCATCCGTCCTGAAAGCAGATACTCTTGGGCTTAAATCCAATGACCTCGTTTTTGTTTTGTTTCTCACTTTTCGTGTACCGCACATATCGTGACGTGAACGAGGATTAGCTAACCAAACAGATAAGCTGACCAAACAGAACAAGGTCACGACGGTCATGCCCCAAGGAAGACTTTGGGGACGCGCTTCGAGCCGACGCCGAACAATCCCCCGCTCCTCCCCGCCTTCGACACAAGCACATGCTCCTTTCATCACTGGCCTGTGGAGGCAGCCCTCTCCCGTGTACTAAACACTCCAAATCCCAGAGAGCCTTGCGGGAGGGAGGGGCGAATAGGTCTCTCATTGGTCTCGTTCCCTAATATGACTACCACGATTGGTCGATGTCCTCGAGTTTCTGTCCTCACTTTCCCGGGGGTGGCGGAAGTGTGGGCTACGGCGGCCGTAATGGGACTGGGGTGCCTGCCTGTTACGGAGTAAGTGACTGGTCTGCAAGGGAGTCTCGTAACGCGCCTCCTTGTTTCGGTTTTGGCCGCGAAGGGATGGGGACCCGAAGTGCAAGTCTCTCCGGGGACTGTCGGCCATGAAAGGCAGAGACTCGGCAGGGAGCTCAGCACCTGCCATCTCACGGGAACGCCTGCCGCCCGGCGGGCTCCGACTAGGTGAGTGGGGGCCGGACCCAGGTCCTTTCCTCTCTCAACGCCGAATTCGGCCGGGATCGCCCTGCAAGACGCGCACAATGTGGACTGCGAGACCCGATCGCTAATCCTCTCTGTGTAAGAGATGGCTCTAGTTGCAGAGGTTGATAGAAATACACTCTGCACATGCTCAGGGGATCGCCCTTATTAATATGCATAATCAAGGGTAGAGTTGGGGCTTTTGTAAAAAGTTTTGAACTTGAAACCTGATTAAAGTGCTTCCCTGCTTCTCTTTCGTCTCCCTGTCTGCTTCTTCTCTCTCCGTTCCCCTATGCTTTATATTTTCCATGTGGGTATTAGCAGTTTGTCTTATCATTTACTGAAGTTGTTTTATACATTCCTCCACTTTCAGGTTGCTTTGACAGATGTTTGTGCCACTTGCTTCGATAATTGCTATTTTGATTTTATTAATCGTTTCCTGATTATTATGAATTTATATATCACTACTGATACATGCTGCTTTGCAGCACAGCATATGATCCACTCATTACGGTAGTCTTATCATAATTACTCTTGCCATTTTACATGTGAAGAATTGAATCAGAGAGAGAGGGAGGGAGGGAGGGGGGAAATACCTTTCTGGTTTAGCCAGCTCAGATTTGTACCTGCCAGACGATAGTCGCAGGATTGCATTCATTTTTCCTGATATGGTTGCACTGTCATACAACGCTTGGGTTTTCACTTGGAGTCCCAGCCTGTGCAATTTAACCCCATTGCTGCATTCTGTTCTGTACTGAAATTTCCAGATGTGATTCCTATGGCATGCAGGCCCCCTCTTGAGGAACTAATGGCTTCCCTGGGGCCCATGGTCCTACCCTGCCTCTCTTACACACAGTTTTGGTTGTTGCTGCTTGTGATAGTTCCTGAGAACATGGAACTGCATTGGTGTGAATGTAACAAGCTGTGTTAGGTATATCTGCAGGTTTTATGCAAGAGAATACAACTTATGTACTGGTATGAAACTTATGTTTCATTGCAGCTGGAGGTAATATGAGGCTTTTTTTGGCTGTTCTTAAAATTATTATACTTTTTACAAAGGGTAGACAAACTGTCTGGCAAAAGGAAGAATAGACTGTTTTCATGTAATGTTTGCATCTTTTCAAAGAAAAATCCATGGCTTCACTGTATACCAAGAGTACTAATACTGTGAAAGCTTTATTTAATCTGAAATTGGTTATGTGAACAAGACCTGTGCCTATATGTGTGCTTTAATTCAACATGGCTGTTTGCTAGCAATTATTGACACATTTTAGTACCCTATTTCACCTCCAAACTTCAGAGGATGGATAAACTCCGGCCTCATATTACCAAAAAATTGTGATTGTGAATGCTAAAACCAGTTAGAAGTGGCAGCTAGTCCTTGTTATGTGTCCTGACCCCTACCACACCTGCCTATGCTCCCACTGTTTCCAGGTATCCTTCAATTCTAAGACACACTTGGCTATGGCCTTCCCTTTCCACTGTCATGAATACAAGCTCTTGCTGATCTTTTGAGCCTATACATTTTGCTGGAATACTTTTTAATCTTTCTCTCTGAGTTTTCTTACTCTTCCCTACTCTGTTCAGACTTGTCAGAATGTTCTAGCATTTCCCCAAATCCATGTTCCTTTGCTAATCATTCCTTGTTTCATTTTAATTCAAGAATGGGCCAACTTTATGTTTGCAACTTGCATGTTTATTTTTTTTTCTAGACCCTTGAGATCCAACAACTGGAGCCAGGTGCAAAATAGTTGCTCAAGTGGATAGACATATATTAATAGTTAAGAAACAGGGCGGCTCTGAGTACATGATGAATTCAGAAATTTGTGATCAGCACCAAAACCCAGCTTGCAAATATTGCACACAGAAGTCCATATTTGGTTTCCATGGACAATTTTTTTTCTCAGCATCCTAGTTTAGGAGTTGGGGAAAGACTTAGTTGTTGCTCTTGTTAGAAGAGTTAGATGGGAGTGAAAAGTTCTTGTGAGTTACTGCAAGTCACCCAGAGTTCTGCAACTACCATCTGTTTATCCCAGTTCTTTCAGAAACTGATCCATTTTGGCTCTTGTTCTAAGGGATTGTCCCATCCCGTCCCTTCCCCTTCCCCTTCCTTTCCTTTTTTTCTTTGTTGCCCAGTCTGATCCCTGCCTGTTTCATTGCCTCCACATCTCATGTACTGTGGCACTCTTCTTCCGTCTTTCCATCATTATCTACGCTGCACTTCACTTGCAGCATACCTGTTTCCCTAACTTTGTGCTGCATTCTGTTTGCTCCTGCATTGGCCAAGAGATGCAAGGACAGAAGTAGGCGTCAGCAAAACAGAGAGACACGGCAGGATGTTTTTGTGGCTGGTAGGAACTAACTGGAAAAATAAACCAATGTATATTTTTGAAAGCTCCAAAGCTGGCAGAGGGGTTCATGTTTACCAGCCGGATTTCCACATTGTAATCTTTTTCAGCAGAGAATCTCTTATTCTGCTTCTCTTGGAGTGGGGAGAGAGTTGAAAGCTTGTTAGTACTGTGTACAATAATTTCTGTATGTGTTAAAAATCTCTGAGGACATGCTTCCGAAAGCTTAGTTCTAAAACATTAAGTTGGGTGAGACACCATATTGGTGAGAACTAATAGTTTGAAAGCATGAGGGCTTCATTTTGTAGAGTGAAAGGGGTGGTGAAACTTCTCTGTGTTTGAGTGTATGTGTGCACATGTGCATACTTGCTAAGAACCTGGATGAAAGAAACTGCTAAAGCATTGAAATGCTACATTTCTGTTCAGGACTTTGATCTCTGGAAGGATATGGTGGCTATTTGTAATCAACTCCATAAGCTTTCTCTTGTGAACTTCATGGGTAATGCTGAGGAGATCACAGTGTATGCTTGAGACAAAATGTTTTACGCAAAAATAAAAAGTGTATAAATATTTTCCCTGTATAGTAGCAAAGTTGATGGTCCTGTGCCAACCAATGTAGCAATGAAATAAGGCCACCCAGAGAGAAGTGGGTGGTTTTTACTTTTGGTGGAAGATTCTCCAGATTTGCAACTATCAGTGTTTTGGGTGGCTTGCTTAACTTTAGGGAGAAAAATGCACAGAGAGAAATAATTAGCAGGCGATGTATGACTGATGATGCTTATCCCGCCCCCACAATTATTTAAGCAGCAGAGGAAACCATTTTCTGTTGATGGTTGCATTCCCTCATGGGTAATCTGTCAGGGGCTGCATGTTGGCAGTGAATGGGGCTGAAGGCAGCAGAGTGCAGAGGCCAGAGCTGATTCCCTCGTCTCTTTCTGCCTACCTCTCACCTGATCTTTGTTCTTAACTTCTTCATTCACATGCTCTTTCCAGAGGCCTGAATGATGGCATGCAGATTTATTATTTATTTTTATTTATTACAGCATTTATATCCCATCCTTCCGCGGAAGTGCTCAGAACGGATTAACTCAGGACGGCTTATATAAATAAGATAGCTTTTGAAATTAGCCTGAAAGTTGCAGGTTGCCCACACTTGATTTAAACTGTTTGGGGAACTTTCCCTTTCCTTACAAGGAAAGAGGTTTTTTTGTGGATAATTGAGGTCAGTGAGAAAAATGCTTTCTCTAATCCAAATCAAGCTTTCTCCAAAGGACTGCTTAAACTGTAAAGTGGACAGTTTAAAGAAGCTGGGAAAGCAAAGTTATCTTGGGCAGATGTCCATACTCAGGTGCCCATTCCTCATGTCCAGTTATCTTTCCACCCTTAATAGTTTGAGAGTGTATAATCCACCTTCTTCACATATTGTAGTGGAAAGTTTAAGGATGGATCCCCCAACCTCAAACCACGTCTGTACATATAGCTAATGCTCCCATAGTTCACCCCCACAATTCTTTGTGGGCTTTCAGATTGTATTTTTCAATTAATTATGCTGCTACTAGGAACAAAGTGCTATTTAAACCTAGTAAGGTAATTTAACTATTTCTCAGACGTACAAAAATATAACTTTCAAAAATTAAGCTGGCAACTTTTTTTCTTTTATGTTTAAGTTATACACCTCTTTCCCATTTAATGGTATTTTACAGCAAATAATTAAAACATCATTAATAAAATATATCCTACTGCAGTCTTCCGAATAGCTATGTATTTTAGCTTCATCATGTGACTCAAAACCATTCACTGGTCCCGAAGCCACTGTGGCTGCGATCTAGTACTTCCATAGTGTCATTTAACAAATAAGGATGCTGACAGTCATCTAGGCCACATGTCATGATGACCAGAGTTCAAGTAGACTCTGGATTGTTTTCAAATTTTGTGTGAAACCTGACTATAATTTAACTGTGGATTGTTAATCACAAACAACCTAGAGGTCTTCACTCAATAGCAATGCATGGGTTTCTTTCTGGTTGTCATGTGAGAACAAGGCTACTGAAAATATCAGTTGCAAACTTATTGGAAGACCTTTGAGTGGAAAATATTAAATTAAACTGAGAGATATTTCAAAAGCTGTGTTACACAGCATGAAGGTCTTCTGTCCAACAGGAAAACAAGTAAAGTTTAAGACCATCCTTGGCATATGTAAAGTAGATTTTGGATGCTGGCTGTAATGCAGTAGATTATATCCATTCTGTTAACTGGGTGATAAAGATTTTTACTTGAACAGAATTAATTCCCAAATATTTACTGAATCCTTCCATACATATGGAAACTCATATTCACAGACCTTGATTATGGTGAATATTTGTCCATATGGGGAATAATGTGTTTTCTTTTTGTGACTATTTAACCATTTTGGAACTGAAGGAACATTTCGGAGTTTCAGAAACTACTTTGGACACTCTCACAAAATGCTTAATCAGTGGATCCTTGCTTTGGTCTCTACCTATCATGCCTATGGAATTTGGCCATGTCTTTTTCAGTAAAAGCATTTGTTTCGTGTCTATTGGACAAAGCAACATTTCTTTAATAAAGAGTTATCTAATTCAACTAATTGCTGATGGTATGATACAGCAAATGCTTCTTTTTAACATGTGCTTTGGCAATAGCCTTCTTTGTGGGAAGTGGTTATTATTACAGATACATTTTGTACTGGAACAGTCTTCAATATTCATTGACATACATGGTGTTTTAAATTATTATTTATTATTTGCTTCATGGAAATTTAGAAATAGAAGGGGAAATGGATTCACTGCATCTTTCTAACAGCTAAAAGGCTGATATTAAAAAATGGAGTAATAAATGCATCCTATAAAGCAATGGATTGAGAACCTTACAAAACTTTTGGTATATGAATGGGTGACATAGATGCCACCTTCAAATATTTGGGTATTTGGTCTGCTTTTGTTGAAGCATATGGCTCATTGTATGCATATTTAAAAAAGAACAAAAAAAAGAACAATGTTTGGGTGCCATGTTAGAGAACCCTGATTTATAGTGCCTGTACAGATGTATGTGCTTCCGTTCCTTGACTTTTCCACATTTTGTTGTGTAATAGCCTGGAACTGAACTAGGTTTAGTTGGCATCTTATCACTTGATGATCACAAGATACTCAACGCCGAGATAGCTCAGTAGAGTGCCCAGATAGCTTAGTCAGTAAAGCATCAGACTTCTAATCTGAGGGTCCAGGGTTCAAGTCCCTGTTTGGGCGTGCTAGATTTTTAGACATGAACATGGTGGGCATGTCATGAGTGGAGCTGGCTGGAGCTGGGAGTCAAACTAGATGGCCCAGGAGGCCCCTTCTGACTCGCTCTGTTTCTGTGTTTCTATGTAACACTCTGAAAGTGCAAAATATTTTTATTGTGGCGCAAAACTTGTCGCTTGTGCAGTTTTCACCCCATCCCTCTTTCCAAGTGAACATTTGGTAGAAGCACCTTGATTGTTTCTCTGACTAATATCCTTATGACGTCACTGGGTGTGGGTGGATGGTCTTCTCTAGGCAGAATCACAGTTCAGCCATATTCTTTCCATTTTGTAATAGTGGGTGTAATATTTTCTGTGGGTTGTGGATAGATTGGGATATTTTTCATAACCCATCCCTGTTTGGTCTTCTGCATGACTATCCCAGAGTTGATTTGATAACTCTTTACTCTTCATAATGGTCTTTGTTTTGATATTCTCTCCAACAAACTCTGGAGTCTTCCAGAAACTGGTATATTTAATCTGAAACCATGTAGCACTGGAATTGCACACAGGTGGATTTAAGTGTGTCATAGCAAAGGGGTGTGCGTGTGTTTATTTTACTAAAAAGTGCCACTTTGTTTTTGTTTACTTAACTTTTGTTCCACAATAAAAATATTTTGCATCTTCAGAGTGTGGAGAACCTTGTATTCATCAAGTGGCAACAATGTCAATTAAATCCATTTTTATTCACAATGTATGGCAGAGTCAAAGGGGGCATTGTACCTTAGCAGCTATTAAAAATTCTGACATTGCTTTGATTCTGATTAGATTTAGGAAAGCTCACAAACTTATTCTCAGAGTTCTCAGTTTCATTGCTAAAGTTCTGATGTTTCTCTTAAAAAAATAGAGATTGTGACTGATCTAGAGGTTCTCTGAACATTCACCAGGATTTCTCAGGCCCATTCTTCCTCCTCTTGCAACCATGGAAAATGAAGGATGCTCCTCAAAGTTGTGAAGCCTCTACAACAGCACTCAGTACAGCTCGAAAGACTTGTGGGTATCCCAGCATGCATGCAGTAGCACTTGGGCTGCGCACAGTTATAGAAACATAGGAACACCGTGAGTCAGAAGGGGCCTCCTGGGCCATCTAGATCCTATTATCTCTGGAACACAGGCACTTGAGTCAGTCCATGACATTCAAGAGGCAATTCAGTGCCTTGAAACTCCTGTGTCATGACTGCTCACTGTGCCTCTTCTAAATGTTTTCCTCCATAATCTGGGAACTCAATCTGCACTAGAACTTTATGGGGTTTCCATTTTTTCACTTACTTGATACCTAAAGTTCACACATGTCAACACGGAGGTGTGTGAAATCGTCATAGTTATCAAAATTATTCCAGGACATCAACAGGTAACAGCAGAGCAAAGATGTTGTTATACTTTGCAGCTCAGGTCCAGCTTTTTTTGTGGAAAAACAGAACATTGGAGGTGGGGCAATCCATTTTGGAAAATGTTCCTTCCCACCTCACTGGCAGTGTTCCTGTTTTCTTAATAGTGCAGCCTGTGGCCAGACACGACAAAAGTATCATGCTAAGGCCACAAATCTTGGTGTGCATGTTTTAAGCACCTTGAACGACAAGTTCATTTGGCAAGCTCTCATGATGCGAAGATTCCGTCTAAAGGGAAAGACCCTGCATTGTGACATGATTTAAATAGGAATTCTGAACCTTGTTTAAATTGTTTCACTCTGTATGTCTGAGTAGGCTGCTTATTTTTTCTTTATGTGGATCCTCTCCTGATAAAAAAGTGGAAATGTTATTCAGTAACAGAATTTGAATATGAAATGTTTTATGATTTGAATATGAATTTCCTACCCTTCTGATCCAAGTAGGATTTGTGGTATCAGAAGACCCTGAAGGTAGTGATATGCCAAGGCTAAAAGCGCACCCTTCACTGTAGTCTTCCAGGAAGTCCTTTTGCTGTCTTCACATCTTATTGGCCCCTGTTTTTAGCCTAGAGCAAGGATATATAGAAGGCGGGCCTCATTAAAAGACTGGAATTTGCAAGGGGTGTGTCACTTTTGAATACCTACCAAAGTGAAACCAAAGCTTGTGCTTGTTCAGGTGAATATTTCATTCACCAAGGATTTTGTATTAATATGTTATACATATCTTCTATATATAACTGTATATAACTGCAGAGCTCTCATGCATTCTTCAGTTGCACTAGTTTAGAAGGAAAATAAAACATTATACTTGCCAGCTTTCTTGGCTACTTGGCTGCACATGCTCTTTTTTGAGCAAGGATAACTGTAAAACTTTGAGGTGGCCTTGAAGACCTAGAGGAAATAGCCAGAGCCATTCTGCACATCGGCCTACATCCTGGATTGTAATAAGGTTTTTTTTAAAGCAACACATATTTGCAGATATTTGGAATATTTTTTTCAGTTTTGTAATACATATTTGATTTAGAAGTGGGGTTAATGCTAAAATCAACATGGAGGTCAGTTCTTGAACACTTGTATTAGCTTCAGATTTAAACTGGATCCATTGTGCTAGCTAAAGTGAACTTCTCTGCCACTGCTTTCCCACAGCAGGCTGTTCAGTCCTCGGAAACTACTACACAAAGAGATAGGAGATCCTGATGAACAGAGGAAGACATTGGGAGGGGTAGCCCCTAAACTGGGCAGGGGTCCCCTCTTCCTGCAGAAGGTCTTTTCCTCATGTGGAAGGCAGAGCCTGAATACATCCCTGAAACTTTTTTCCAGCAACGTAGTAATGCCCTTTCTCTTTTCTCTCAAGAGAAAAAGAGTAAATTGCAATTGTGGTTGCATTGCAGTTGCTTTGTTTTTGTGTGTGCTATTTTTGTCTTGAATAGAGAGAGAAGTTTTGTTTGGCTGCTGTAGTGGCACAGTTTCCTATGAGGCAAGTTGAAACTGGAAACACGCAGGGGCTTTTTGTGGATCAATGCTGTGAGTCAGTGTGATTCTCCAAGCTTACCTGATTTAGCTAAATGAGAATATATGCAGACCCATGTGGAAAAGCTTTTATGTTTAGTTTCCATTGGCAAGCCATGTTTCCTGTCTGGTGGCATGGATTGTTGCGAATACAGATTCCCTGTTGCCCATGTCCAACTAAGGGAGTTGTGCACACATCCTTAAAGAGATGTACAAGGCCTCAGTGACCACCATCTCTCCTCTCTCCCTCTGAATTCCAGCTCACTGCTATGGACAGTGCTATCACCTTGTGGCAGTTCCTTTTGCAACTCCTTCAGGAGCCTCGGAAGAAGGATATCATCTGTTGGACCTCCAATGATGGAGAGTTCAAACTTCTGCAGGCAGAAGAGGTGGCTCGCCTCTGGGGAATCCGCAAGAACAAACCCAGTATGAACTACGACAAACTCAGTCGGGCTCTCAGATACTATTATGTGAAGGTAACTCAGGCTTTTGTCCAGATGTTGAACTATCTTGTGTTGCAGCCTTTGCTTAATAGAGGTTGTTGTTTTTCTCATTCACTTCAAGGATTGAGCTGACTGGACTGCAAATAGGAAAGCTGATGCTTACATGCCCTACCTTGACTTGGGTTGAGTGAATGTAGTTGTTTCATGACATAGTATAGAATGTTAAAGCAGTTAAACTCCCATTCAGCCCAATACCTTCATTTGCTAAACAAGCTTGAGTGTCTAAGAACTCCATTTCTTGTGGCAGTTATATAGATGCACATGCACTTAGCCTTTAAAGACTTGAAAGCTTAATTTTAATAATGTATGAAAAAATCTATCTTCCACTCTTAGTAGAGGCTTTATCTGAAAAGCAGCTGTTAGATTTCTAAAGAGGGTACACATTTGGGGATTATGGAAACCCTAACAATACAAAATAATTGTATTTCGAATTTGGGTCACTCCTCACATATACTGCATTAGGTTTGTTGCTTAGTAACTTGCTACCTTTCCTCAATAAGAACATAAGAAAAAAGCAGTAAGAATATATTTGCTGCAACATTGAATGGCATGGGAAGCTATCCCACTTGTTCTGCAGAAAGATTGCTTCCCCCCCCCCCGCCCCCCACTTTGGGTGAGGGAGAAAACAAAAGCACACCAGAAAAAATATATTCAGCACATCCAAGAAAAGCAGATGCTGATATTTCATAAGCACCTAATAAGTGATTGAATCTGCTTTTGTCTAAAGATAGGCAGAATAAGAATGTTAAATGTTTTCGAAGTAATGTCAACTCCAACTGGCATATTAGAACTTGGGCTCAAGAACACTGGATTAGCTATTACGCATTGCATGTAAGCACTAAATGGAAGCATTTAGTGCTTCAGTAAGTACAAAGGTAACGAGTGCCAACAAACAAGTGCTCAGGGGCACTGAAATGGCTGCAGTTCTGTGTTTCAACTGTTCATTTTCCTTCAGCTATATTGAAATCTTACATAAATGTTCTGCCTTCTGAATACTTAACTTTGATGTGGCGATGCTGTGCTCACATTAATACAAGTGTCCTGTCTTCAGAATTTAGGTTTAAATTTCCTTGCTTTCTGGATCAAAGTCAGGAAATATGTAGGTAATCTGTCCCCATTATGATCAACATTTGTGATGTAGTTTTGCCATCTTTTCAGCACCAGGTTAAAGCAGCCCTCTTTGCGGAAGCCTTTAAAGACCTTCTGGCCATTCAGGAACCTGACACAATTAGCCAGGAGCCTCTCTTGTATTCTTGGCTGGGTCTTTTTTATTGTATTTTTAATGTTCCTTTATGTAATTTTATGTTCTTTTAAATTAATTTTAATTCTTAATGTTTTTATTATATTTATTGTTTTTATATTTCGTTGTAAACTACCCAGAGAACTTAAGCTACATGTGGTATAGAAATGAAATAATTACTACTACTACTACTACTACTACTAATAATAATAATAAACATTGTTGTTTATACTGATCATGGATCAGCTTTCTGGCTGTGTGGGTAGCCAGCCCAGAGGAATGCAATAGCATTTTTTTTTATAAACTGTGAATATTCTGTAATTGCTAAATGCAATAGGCTGGTTGAAACTAACTGGACATATGTACCTTGATTAGAGCCAGAATGACTGAGCATGGATGGGTAATCCTAGTTAGTAGGACCTTAATGAGGCTAACTAAGCCTGGATCCATTCTGTAATAAATGAGCATATAATACTCATGGTCAAGTTTACAGAATTTCCTAATTGATGCGGGGCTGTCTCAAGATGTCCAACTGAAGCATGTCTGTGGCAAGAATTCAAACCAGAAGGTTGCCTGATGCTTTTTACTGTTTTGATGTTTCCACAGAACATCATCAAAAAAGTGAATGGTCAAAAGTTTGTTTACAAGTTTGTGTCTTATCCGGAGATTTTGAATATGGATCCACTAGCAGTTGGCAAGATTGAGGGTGATGGTGAAGTGCAAACAGGCTCTGTAGATGCTAGCAGTGCTACAAAGGACATGGAAAATTGTGCAAAAGAGAAGCATCAATCCTGTGCAAAATCCTCTAGCCGCAATGACTATATCCACTCAGGCCTTTATTCTTCATTTACTTTGAACTCCCTGAATTCCTCCTCATGTGTAAAACTCTTTAAGCCAATCAAGATGGAAAACCCAACTGAGAAATTGGCAGAGAAAAAAATTCCTCAGGATCCAACACCTTCGGTTATAAAATTTGTGACCATGTCGTCCAAAAAGCCTTCAGTATCTCCCCTTGCCTCTACTGCTCAACTGACCTCTACTGTATCAGCTGCCTCTATGCTTAGTTCTGGTTCAGATGAAAGTCTCCAGGCCTTGGAATCTCTAGTAACACCAAAAGTGGCTCCCAGTGAAACTGCAGAATCCTTGCCAAACTTGACCACCAATTTCACCCCTACACCTCCTGCAACCTCCATTTCACCACCTCTTCAGGTTCCTTCCAGGTCTCCTTTGCCACTTTTAAATTCCAATCCTGATCTGGTTATAGACACAGACACTGAGTCTGTGGCTTGCCAGCAGCCAGAGCATTCTCAAAACCAAGCCTTGGAGTTTAAAGAAAAGGAGCTTCGTCATAGCCGAACTAGAAAGCCCAAAGGGCTGGAGATTGCTCCCACTCTGGTCATTACTGGCAGTGACCCAAGTCCATTGGGAATACTAAGCCCTTCTCTCCCCACGGCTTCTCTTACACCAGCACTTTTTTCACAGGTAATCCTGATTCTGTTATTTTTGTTCATGTATACAGGAAGTTTGGTAGAAAAGTGACTGCTACTTTGGTGACATTCTGGTAAGAGATGTGTCAAGTGTTATCTGAATGTAGGGCGCAAAACTAGATATTTAAGAGACTGAAATGGAAATGTAATCAAGTACCTTGCCAAAAAACAAGTGTGTTCACTATATGATAGTAAAAGGCAGGGTATGAATGCAGATCCCTCCTGCCTAATGCACTGTTACACCTGCAGCAATATTAAGCATAACTAGAATTAGTTAGGATTCCTGCTTTACACAGGATCTGAAATATTAACATAAGGTTAGGTTCAGATCCTAGGTTAAGGATGAACCCTAGTTCACTATTAACAATGGTTTTGCAGAAATATTGCAGAGTGGCAGGGTAGAATCTACACTTCATGATAGATTGTGGTAGGAAACATGCAACCCTGCAACCTGGTCCCTGTTATTTATCAAGTTTGATAGCTGAAGACATTAGATCAGTTACTTGCTTCACTTTGCTTCCTTCATGTTGCCTAGGCAGGATAGTAGATAGGCAAATGAAATAGGCAAAAGCTTGCAATTTTTTCCCATGGGTGTGGTGGATCTGACACTGTAGGTTGTCTTCTTATATAGATTATTCTGCAAAGTTCATTCACAGTTTTTGCACTTTGCGTAGAATTTAAAAAATTTAGTTTTGGGCATTTATTCTGTGTGGGCTGTGGCTAGGTTACAATATTATTTTTACTTCCTGTATCATGAACAAGGTATGGATGTTGCAAATTAGCTCATATGAATTTTACTAGAGTCATTTTTGCTAGGATTGCTTCCATCTAGCTCTGACTTTATTGTAGGTTTGCACACCATGGGCACAGTCCAATGAATTGCACCCTTGAGGCTTGCAATCCTTTGAATCTGAAGGCTTATGAACATTTTATGCAGAGTAGGGAAGCAGCAGAGAGTATTTATACCACCTCACACCATACACTTTGCACATGAACTAGACAGCAGATTTCCACTGTTAGGATCACTTTGTAAAGGCTGTATAATTCTAAATCATGATTTTCTAGTCTTGTTCTGCTGTTCAGCCCCACCTGTGTTACGTTTAAAGTAACTTAATTGAATAATGTGTTTGCAAGTTATATTGGACTTAATGGAAACTTCAGCTATTAAATGCTCTCAAAACTGGTTTTGTGACCCTGCTCTGTATGTCTCACAGACACCTATTTTGCTGACCCCAAGTCCCTTGCTCTCCAGTATCCATTTCTGGAGCACCCTTAGTCCAGTTGCTCCCCTCAGTCCAGCAAGATTACAAGGTGCTAACACTCTTTTCCAGGTAAGTTCCAGAAAACAGATGAGATTTGTTAAAGAACTAAGAGGATCTTTTGAAAATGAAAATACCTCATGTTCTTGCAACTTCATTTAAATGTGAGCTGCTTTATTCATTTAGAAATGAGTTTCAGTTTAGATTGTCCTCTGTACTGGGCATGGGCAATGTGTAGTGGTATGAATATTGTTGAAACTGCATCCACATTCACCATAAACGATGCTGACGAAGACTGCTTGCTTGTCAGTGGAGTCCAATAACTGGAAGGCTGTGCATTCCCCACTCCAATTCTTTAAATCTTGGAGGATCATAAATGAGCCACAGGTTCTTGTGCTCCTTTCTTTCCTTCTGCACTTTCAGTTTGTAGTTCAGTGCTGCCCACAGATGCCATGCCAGAATCTGAACTGGCAAACTGTTTAATACTAGTACTGAAAACAAAATTGAAAACTATAGTTTGAACTGGATTTCCATTCCTGCTTAGGAAGGCCAGTGCTAGCTATAGTCTTTATAATCAAGACTTGTCATTCTCCTTAATTCTCCGACAAGATTCCTTGGCAACTTTCTAGTTTGAGTGCAATAGATTGGAAAATGACATCTTCCTCTGTTCTTTCAATGAAAATTCTTCATGAAATACAAAGAATAGCACAGTGGATTCTTTGTGTTAATCCAGATCAGCAAGTGTAGTTTTGTCATTGACATAATTTTTTGGGATAAGCCCCACCATTTTTTTCAGGAAAGATGAACAATTAACTTTTCACTTTACATAATAGTGCCATACTGCTTTCCAGATGAGAGAAATGGTTTAAGGTGTAAACTTATACATGTTTAGACAAAAGAAAGACCTACAACTCACAGCATGTTATAGGTCTTTATGTTTACAGGTGCATAGGATTGCACCCTTTATGTCTGAATAAACAAACAGTAGAACCATCTCAATCTATACTTGGAATCCTATATTGCAATTATGGTGGCCTTTTGCAATAATGCAGTGGCACTGCTCAGGTATTCTAACCCTGAATAGGGCAAATGCTTGAGCAGAAAAAGAGCTACAGCCCTCACCTTCAACTCATGGAGGGCAACCGTTTGAAAAGGAGAACCTCCATGGATAGAGCAGACTATCATTAATTTCATTATAGGATTCCAAAATACAAATAAGTTAGACAGCTCTACTGTATTTCTATTGAATCACCAAACTATCTCCCTTGTCTTGAAAGGGCTGTGGCACTACTTTAAAACAAACATTGTTTAATATTTGTCGATGTACCTGCTCTTTTACATTATTTACCTACTTTATGGCAGTTAACCACTGCTCTGCATAAATGGATTCACTGCATCCTCTTGACCACTAAAAGATGGATATTACAACATTGGAAGCAGAACTACTCACCTCCTTTATATACTGCAGTGAACTGAGGATATTACAGGCAGTCCCCGAGTTATGAACATCCAAGTTATGAACAACACATAATTACCAATGAACTACCATAAAGCCTATTAATTTGTTTAAAAAAATACTGCAGGAAATCATTACCACCATAGAGAGAGGAGAAGCAAAAGCGCCTGCCCCACCCATCTGGAGAGGGAAATCTCTCTAGCATTTCCTTGCTGTAAAGAGGAGGTGCTGGTGAGTTTGGGAGCTGGAGCCTAGAGATATTTGCAGCTTTTCCACTTTGATGGGGGTCCTGTGACCCTGACCCTCATGAATGTGGAAGCCCATCTATATACAATCTGACTTGAAGAATTTCCATATTCTCAGGAATAGAACTTGTTCATAAGCCGGGAACTGCTTATATAATGCTTTCATCGTTTGAATGAGTGGCATACAGGTGCCACCTTCAGATGGGTACTTACTTGGCTATCTGGTCTGCTTCTGTTGAGGCACAGTATTCTGTGGGAGGGAAGTTCAGAATGTGAATCAGGCTTATATGTTTCCAAAACAGTTCCAAATCAGTATAACTGTAAACCAGTGATCTGGAGATGTTTTGACTGTGTCCTAAGCCTTTAAGGTAAATGAAATTGCAGTATGTATCTTTACTGTGCAGATTGTAATGCCCACTTCCCCTCCCGTGAAAATGGGATATGTGTACATATGAATTAAGATTGCAGCGTGGAGATTGTACTGTATGAGGCTGGGGAATATGTGAGAAAATATAGTACAGGGTTGTGCATTGAATACTGCACAGTCTAACCTACAGCAAAGCCTGAACCATTTACATTTATTGGTTATGTTGATAAGTAATATATAAGCACTTCTGTTTTGGCAGAAGCGAGAGGCAACTTTTCAAAGCTACAGCTGGATGTTTGGTGGGCAGAGTAAAGAATAATTTTACAGGACTGTTTTTGAGGTGAAAGAGTCAAATCAAGGTTGGCCTTCTACCTCTGTATTCAAGTAGCTAAAAATGGCCTTGTAAAAATGTTTTTGAGGATGAAGGTTTTGTTTATGTTTTTATAACATGGTACATTTGTCAGAACTTGGTCATGTGGCTTTGCTGCACTAGGCCACTTTTGTATAACCATTTAATAGCATGAATACTGAACTCGGAGCAAACCCTGTGCTGCCTTTCCCTCCCCACAAATGGTCATTGTTTTCTTGTTCCCCAAAGGAAGAATTCTTTTGCCAGTATCAAGGCCTCAATGCATCAGCCATCAGTGGAAAACCTAAATGCCAGGGCAAGTGTAGCTATAAACATCTCTACAACTTTAACATTTGTTTTTGTTTTATAGTTCCCATCGGTGCTGAATACACATGGACCATTTACTGTGTCAGGAATGGATGGACCTTCCACTCCTGGGCCTTTCTCCCCAGATGTGCAGAAGACATAGTGTATGTCTTTGTGGGAAGAGGACAGAATGGGTAAAAAAAAGAGGACAACATTTAATCAAGAAACACATAATCCAGTTTTCAAGGAGTGGCTTGTAATTCCACAAACACACTATAAACCGAGTTGACTTTTGCCATTCCCAGTTCAAATGCCTTTGCAAAAATTCTCTTTGACACATAAGGGAATTTGTATGAAAATGCCTTAATTGGAGACTCTTCTCCATTGTTTTCCCTCTCCCCTGCTTCTTTTGGTCTAAGAAGGCTTCTCTTTGGTAAAGGGAATATTTTTTTGTATGGATGCAATGACTGAATTTGCAGAGCCTGATAGCACAGACACATTGTCTCTTATGACTGATAACCTTCCACTCCTGCTTCTTATCTTTCACATAAAACTAGTAATCGTTTTTGGAAGCTGGCATTCCAAGAAATAGCTTTTTTAAGAGGCTTGATTTTGGGATTGATAATTTCTGTATTACTCATACAGGAAAAAGACCCTGTGTCATTGTAAGGAGAAACTTTTGCAATGGCATAGAAGAGAATTGGGTAATCTCTTGAGGGTAATAGCCTTTATCCAGTTATAGATCTAGCTCTATATCTATATGGGAAAATGTCAGTTCATCTCCCAAGTATTGTGTGTAAGCTTAAATAGTACAGAAATGCATAGCTTGTGGAATGGATTGCTTTGATTGTCTAGAAATATTTGAATGTGTTAACTCTGATATTACTTGGTAGGCAAAAAAGGAAAGAAAACTTTAAAAAATCCTCTGATACTTAATAGAGAATAATTTAAATTAACAATGCTAATTGGAGATTGTTGCAGTGGACTTGTTGTGCCCTACAGCTAAGTGTGTATTTGACATGCGGTGTGCAGTGTTGTCTTGCTGCTTGATAATGTCGTATGTAGTTCCAGCATTTGAGAAGTGAACGCTTGCATTTTATTCTTTATTCTCTCTTTGACCAATGAGGTACCCAAAGAAGAGGCATTGCTTGGCTTAGCCCAATAGCTCTGGGTGATCCATTTTTTCATTTGAATATGAGTAAGAGCTGAACTAAAGTTTTCAGTGTGCAAAGCTTCCTTAAGCTAGAAATATTATGCAGTTATTACAAAAAGTTTCTGCTGATAAGGAGGTTTTGGGTGGGAAAGGGCAGGTTGGCCCAAGCTGCCTGTAATATAATAGAGCCAAAAAGCAACTTTCACCTGCACTTAGTCTTGTCACAAACCTCCCTGGGTGATTTCTTTAGCCCAGTGGTAGTTAAGAGTATCAGTAATATTATGCTGGCTTTCTGATGTGCAAGTCTTGCTTATAGGTAAGAACAAAAATGGGAAGAATGATGATAATGTGATTAGGGATGGCCACGCTCAAGTAGTTTTTTCTTAGTAGAAGGAGATGCATGAGAAACCGGAATGTTTTTTCAGAAATAGCACACTTATCTCCTGACAGGTGTCAGGGCTATCAGTTTCTGAAAGCACCTTAAGATTTGTAGTGTAAAGTAGCTATTTGTTGGGAAATCAAGAGACATACCAGCAGTGGAGTGTGATAAATGTCCTATCAACAGATGGGTGTGTGTTTATGTAGGAGTGGTGGTGATGGTGGTTGTTGACCTTAGGCAGTGTTAGCCATCTGCCCAGTAAGAACAGAGGATAGTTTATGATAGTTTTCCTATCATAACTGTAATCATGACTTTTAGTGGAATCTTTAGCAGCAAAGATGGCATCTCCAGCGTAAGGCTAGAGAGAAGCTTGAAATGCCTGCTCTGTATCTATCCCATTTTATAGTGAACAGGGAGATTTCTACACGGTCACTAAGGCACTTCCACAAGATTTGAGTTGATTCCAAAGTGTGCACTTATGTATAAGGGTCCACCCAAGGTTGAGTCCATACTAAGGAAGGAGACAGTTGCTTAAACTGTCTGCATTGATATGGTAAACCAGATCCTTTTCAGCATTGTGAGGCAATGTTCACAAGAACAGTGCAACAGTTAAGTTATTGGACTGTCCTTATAAAAACACTCCTATTAAACATCTGGTGCAAGGAAAAGAATGTACCAGAGAAATTACACACAGTTTTCTGTCTGTCACGTGAGATGCTTTTGCTGAGATGGAATTGAAAGGCCCATGCCTGTTGTACCTAAATAGAAAGTGCAATATTTCATAGTCGTTTCAGCATAGACATGCCAGAAAATAACTGCGGTTAATAAGAGAGTATAGGCATTCTGCATTGTGATATTTGCACAGTGGTTTGTATTCTGCCTTTAGGGCAAAAAAGAGCAGCACTTTTTAAGGGCAGTCATTCTAGGCTGGCTGCTTATTGCGTAGGAGAGATTTCAAAATGATGATATTTGTTTTAAATTTCTTCTTGCACACTAAAAGAATAGTAATTAAATTATTTGCCTCCCCTCCTCCTCTGACAGTAGGAAAACATGGACTGCCTTTGTTCAACTATTGTAGAGTCTTGTGTGCTGTGTGATGCACCTGTGCAGTACCTATACCTAGTTCTATAAGTGAACCCCGCAAGTTTCCCCAAGACACTGAGAAGTTGCCTGACCATTCTGAGGTTTAAGTGTTGTTCTGCTGTTCTTGGTGATTGGATGGAGCTTCATTTTACAGAGATTTTATATCTTTGTTCTTGAACCTCTCCCTTTCCCTCTCCTGTCTGCTTGCTTGTCTCATCCTTGACACATAGTTCATTTGAAGGTTTGAGCTGATGGGCTGCCTCTTGTTTGATGGATGCTTTATAGTTAGGAGTGAGAGCTGTTAGCCAGAACTGGGAATGGCTAATACACTTGGCATTGAGGATTGTGATCTTTGACATTGTAGGTTCAAGCTTGTCTCTGCAACTAAGGGAGTATTTTTTAAACATTTCTGTTGGTGCAAGATCTTTTGCAATCAGTATGGCTAAGATCCTCAATCTTTCTTGTTGGCCACTTGACCTGCCCTTCTCTTCATCATTTTTTTTAAAGTGAACCTGTGCCCTTGGCAGTTTTTTTCTGGTCAGTGATCCCTTTTAGTGAATCACATACAGCCTTCTTCCTATACTAGAAAGAGGCAGTGCAGTTCTTCTTTCACAGAATTAGTCCTGAAAGATCTGGGTTTAAATCTTACATGGTTTAAAATAATAATAATAATCTTACTTGCTTTCATGTATAGCTTCCTTTTTACAGCAAATTAAATGTACAGACCTATCATTATTTTACATGATAAGTATTTTTATACTGTTTGTACAGGCTGAATTACAGTCTGGCACTTAAGCTAGGTCAAAATCTTTTTTTAATGTGTATTGGATTGATCGTGCCTAATTACATTTTCTTAAAGCACCTAAATTTTCTTGGTTATGTGTCTAGTCCCTTTTGATGGTTACAGAAAAAAATCTGTTTTTTATTGTGCATAATATACTGTTATGACTTGGTGTCTAATGATTCTTTACTTCAGCAACTAATATTTTGACAACCTTTTGGCTATTCTAAATTGTTCATTCTCTGATTGCCTTCATGCATCACTCCTCAGTCTTCTCTTCTTGAGGCTGAACATACCCAGTTCACTCAATCTCTCCTCATAGGGCCTTTCCAGGCCTTGTATCATCCTTGGTGCCCTCCTCTTTCCAGCTTGTCTGCATCTTTCTTAAACTGTGGTGCCCAGAACTGGACACAGTACTCCAGCTGAGGTCTGCTGAATATAGGAATTATTACTTCACTTGATTTAGAAGTGATATTTCTGTTAATGCACCTAACATAGCATTTATAGCTACGTTGCATTGTTGACTCATATTCAGCTTGTGAACTACAACAAGATCTACAAGAATTCCAAGATTCTTCTCACTTGCAGTATTGTTGAGCCAAGTATTCCCCTTCTTCTAACAGTGCATTTGGTTTCTTTCTGCTGGGTGCAGAACTTGGCATTTGTCCCTGTTGAATCTCTTTCTCGTTTTCAGCCTAGCGTTCCAACCGATCAAGATCACACTGAATCTCCTTTCTGTCTTCCAGGTTATCCTGTGCTTCCTCATACAGAGCATTAATAAAAATGTTGAAAAGCACTGGGCCCAGGACTTAGCCCTGAAGCATCCCACTTGTTAACTCTGCTGTAATGATTATGGAGCTGCTTAATAGTTGTTCCATCTAGCCCACTTTTTGCTAGTTTGCTAAACAGGATATTGTGAGGCACTTCATCAAAAGTTTTGTCAACATAGATAATGTCCACAGCATTCACAAAGAGTATTTTATTTGTCTTCCTTCTATACTCGTTCAAGTTATTGCAGTCACCCTGTGTGCTAATGGTCCCAACATAAGAGCCCCCAACTGTCCAAGGTGTGTACTTCCTTCATTTCTTCTGATTAACACTTGGTATTGTGGAAAAGCAGTATCTGCTATCAGTTATCTTTTCTGCTCTTTAATTACCAGTCACTAATGCTCTGTATTTTCCAGTAGGAAATCTAGTTAGTGGAGCTAATTTTGGTACACCGATTCTAACCATCTCTTGTCCTTCAAAAAGTAACAACAAAGCCCACTAGTTCCAAATTATTTGAGAAAGTAAGTGAAGTTGTGACAAACTAGCAAGTGGATCGTAGTCACTTATGGCAGAAGTGTCCAGCCTCTAGGGCTCAATCTGGCCTACCTGGAGTCCCAGTCCATTTTCCCAAGCTGGACATCTGTGTAGGTAAGCTTGCATTAGACATTGCTTTACTGAATCAGATTATGATCCATCTGGTTTGTCCTGTAGTTCAAGAAATATGCTGACCAGCAGGCACGAATGGCCCACTTGTGCCCATACTAGTTTATAATCATTTAAGGGCACAAGCACACACAGGCTTTAGAATCAAGGAAGGTACAAATATAGGAGTTTACTGGATGAGTTAAACTTCTGTATATCAAAATTTTCAGCCCTTCTAGGATTCTGCAGTGCATCACTTAGTTCTTACTGCAGTGAACCTCTGGTAACAATGGATGATTGGTTGATGGTGGCAGGTTGTAATTAACACATATGATAATAGAAAATTCAGGTAGTTTTAAAGCAGGTGGTGAGTGCAAATCATTCAGTAAGGGGCCTTTGTGCTTAATACAAGTAAAAATTCACTGCATCTCCTTCTTGCCCCAACAAACATGGTTTTGAAATTCCGATGTACAGAAGGCAGTTTGAACATCTGTTTCCAAAATGTGAACGTGGTTGGCCATTCTTTCTAGTGCTGATTTCCCTCCCTTCCCTCCAAACCTTTCAGAGTAATATAGAATATCAAACTGATGAAGCTAATCCAGTAGTTTGGACAAAACAGGAAAAATAGGTGCACACGTTCTATAGACATAAGCAGGCCAGATGGGCATCTTGATTCTACGTATTATTTAAGCTTGGAAGTGCTGTGCTTTTTAGATGCAGCTTTTAAAATGTTTTGCACTTTTGCAGGATTTCGAGTGGAATCAGTTATGCCACATTATAGTTCCTGAAACATACTGATATTCTATGACATTTTCTCCCATTCACATGTTTGTCATTTTATAACCTGAATGGTTGAAATGCTTATCTGTTGCCACAAGATTGCAATAGGCCTTTGCTTGATCGTGGCAGCTAAACTTGCAAAGTTAGACTTTGCTTTGTCGCTCTCTTCCATGTCTCATGGTAGCTGGCGCTTAAAGTCATTGAGTGTACGCACCCTTACTCAAATGATAACCAAGGTTAAATGTTGGAGGCTATATTTTCATATCCCGTGAAAGATAGATTTGAAATGGCCAACTCAGAATCCATGTCTGAGCTAAATTCCAAACTGCTTGGAGTCAACATGTTCTGCACTGGCATACATGAGAGCTGATAAGGAATACAGACCTTCCTGTAGGAGATCTTTGAGCAGGAAGAACATAGAGGTCTTGCTGGATCAGGCTGATGGTCTGTTGGCATCTTATATTCCATGTTAATCAACCAGATGCTACCAAAGAGCATAAAAGCATAGCATGAAGGCAGTTGTACGCCCTTGCTGTTGATGGCTAAGAATTGGTATTCAGTGCACCTGAACTAGGAAAGGTTTCATTGCTGTCAATAGGGTCTTCTTCACAAATCTTCTAGCTGTCTTCTAAGGCTGTCTTCATAGCTGGTCTTTAGAAAGTTTGTCATGTTTGTGTAATTAGGAATGAACGTAAATGAACAGGTTTAGTATGTCTGTTGAACTAGGAGCTATCTTCTTCACAAATATGTTCTGAAGTGTAGCTTTAGAGTTTGACTTTCAGTGTTGAAATATTACGTGCTAAAAATAGTTTTTAATGAATATGATGTCAACCTTGTATGGCAAAGTCTAGTTCTAAATAAAATTTTAAATAGATTTTTTAATTTTCACTGCAGTTACCAGATGGCCTTATGTACATCACAGTGGGATAGGTACAGTAGCATACTTAGAAATATAGAAAAAGAGCAAGTCAGAAGGGGTCGCATGGGCCATCTAGTCTGACCCCAGCTCCAGTCAGCTCTGCTCATGTAATGCCTACCATAATGAAATACTTAAAGCTTTTCTTCTCTGTGTTCATAGTGTTTGCATCTTGTAAAGATATGCAAAGAGAAACAAGAGGTTGTGAAAAGTGGAGGAAGCTGAGGACAGAGTATATATTCTTTGGTGTTTGTAAGCTGTCCTGAGATGCCACGCATAGAGGACAGCATATAAAAGTTTTAAATAAATAAATAAATATCTCTTGATGGAGGAGGAAATTCCTAGAAAATGACAACTATTAGAATTACATTTAGTGAAGGATATGGCATGGTTATGCAGGTCCATTCAGTTAGCCTGCTGTTTGTGTGCACTCATGCTTGTGTGTATATGCATGTATATGCACAAGTGTTTATTCTGTAGAACATTGTGGGAGAGAGGAGGTTGGAGGAGCTCACTGAACCATCTAGCATCTCTGTTGTTCAGAGATTACACCCCTTGCTATATTCTCATGGTTCTAGGTTTTTGCTGGATTTGGTCTGGTGCCACAGGGCAAAGCATGTTGCTGAAGTTGCCATTTTACTTATAATACACAGTTGGTTTCCTGGTCTTTTCTGTGCTATAGGGTTACTGTTTGCAGGGAAGTGTCCGCTTTTACCCAATATGCATCTGGCACAAAAAAATGGTTTGTCAAGTCTTTACCTTCTAACTGTAGATGTGATAATCCTCAGTCTAGGCTAACATACAAGAACAAGTAAATGGAGTGGATTTGCTTTCACTGCCCAGAGTATAGCACAGCGAGCTTTAAGAAGGGAAAGGGATTTCTCATTCCAGGTCCCTGACCTCCCAAGGCTTTTGCACTGTTCTTCATAGAGGAAGTAAAATCAGCTCCAGTGCCTCCTCCTGCCTCCCAGGAAGAATTTGGGCTAGCGTGGAGTAAGGTGGGCCTTGGGCTTCTTTGGTCATTTTGCACCAGCCTCAAATATCCAGAGTTTGCACATCAAAAAAGAAAGCATACGCACCTTGGATGTGTTGTCTTTGAGGATATGGCTATGTTGTCTAGTCAGGATTTCTTGATATCTGGCAAATGTTTTGCTTATTGCTACAATAGTCGTGTGAAGTTAGCTGGGAAAAGTAGCTTGGAGTCTTGCTCTTTTATATAATTGAAAAGCTGAACTCTTTTATATAGCCAGTATGTTAATGCCATTGTGTAAATGCTGGTATGTAATGCAATTGCATAAATAGCCAAAGTGCTACGTAACTTTTCAGTATTATTGTCTTGACTAGAAGCACCTCTGGGTAAGATATTAGGAAGGCCTTCATAATACTGAGATGTTAGAAAGGGAAGAAAATCTGCTAATTGAGAAATGTTTTTATTAAGGCAGTGTTTGAAATTTGACCAAGAATTCTACAAAGTTAGTCTTAAAGTGTTTTAGGACTGCACAGCAATGCCATTTTATGGATTTGCTTTGCTTTGAAAGGTTAGTGTACATCCAACCATAATGAAGGTCTTTCCTGAGAAATCAGGTGACATTTTCTACTGCTTAGACTTTTGTGGCAATCTTTTTTTTTTTCTAAAAAGAAGTGTTGGGGGGGAAGTGCTAAATATTTTGTTTAAGAACTGACAGAGGAATTTGCTTTGTATAATAATGCAAGTTTGCTTAAACATTGTAGCAAATCATGTTAATAAGTATGTGCAACCAGACTTGCAAAACAGTTGTATTTTTCTAAATAAATATTTTTTAACAAACTTTGTTATCTTGAATGTTACTCTCCTTTGCAATGGAAAGCAGTTGCAACTTCATTACTTTTTTCTGACAAATCTTTACTGTGGGTAATTGAAAGAGCAGCAATAATGTAATCACTAAGTATTGTCAGAACCCCTCTTGCATGTATAATATAAGCTTCACTCCTGCTTATATGTAATGATGACACTATTCCTGGATTTAAATTGATTTAAATGATGCATACTTGTTGCCAAGTAACATTATGAGTATCTCAAAGGCACAGATGTAACCTTGCAAGCTGAAATACTTGCATGCTATCTGGATACAATGTGAGAATCTCATTGGAAGGAACTAAGCACCTTGAGCCTCTTCTTCTTGTTGTCTTTAGATTATCCCCCCTCCCACGTCATCTACAGTATTTGCAGCTGTTTAATTCATTTGTAGATAAACTGAGGAGCATGAAGTAGTGCGGAAATTCAATTGACTGACACTGAAGATGTATTTATTGGTTTTTCCAAAGACATTTTGCTGCCTGAAGCAGCAGCACCACACTTTCGAAAGTCTTGCTGCAGCTGCCACTCTTCCACTGATTCTTGCATTCTTCTGTCTCGAAGCAGATCCCTTCTCTGCTGCACTGCAGGACTGGCCCCGAAGCTCTTGCTGCAATATGCGGGGGCAACCTATACAAGGAAACACATTCCCCAGACAGATCTCTCTTATAGAATGGAAACTAAATACATTAAAGCAAGCAGGGACCAGCTGCTTGACCCACTGTTTCCAGCAACAATGCATATTCTTGAACAAAATCTATTGCATGGGTGGGGTGATGACTTTCTGCTCTTAAGTGAGCAAGCAAACAATGTATTATTATTATTAGCATCTTTAAAGGTTAAATATTGAAGTCTTTGTAGCAAGCATCAGTATTATTCGGAGAAGTTGTTTTACATAGACAACACCAAATACAGCAGAGATAATGTATCAATGTAATTTCAGTGGTGTCTAACCTGTATCTGCCTAGTTATATGGTCATTATGGATGGAATGTGCAGAAGACAAAGGACAATTTAGTTCTTCTGAGCCAGGGGGTGTGAATATTGTGCCTTTTGGATAGATACTTTCATTCAGTGGAGCCAGCAGTCAGTCACTCCAGAGCTTTGCAGATTAACACTCCAAATATACTAATAGCAGGCTCAATGGATCGCAATTTTACAGCATGCATACCAGCTGATTGCAGTAATGATCTGGCTGAGATAAAGTATAGCCTTTTATACTAAGGATTACAATGTCTTAACATGTAAGGACATTAAGGCTGCAATCCTGTAAACACTGACTGGGGAGAAAGTCCAACAAACTCTTTGGGGCTCGCTTCAATGCAGGCATGCATAGGATTACACTGTAAACAACCAAAACTTTCAGAAACAAAGGGGTCACTAATTGCAGGGCCTAACAGTGGGTTGTATCCAATGTTCGCTTAACTTAGCTCACATTCATTTCTGTAAATCTAGTCCAGGTAGGACTAACACTGGATGCAACCAATTGTTTCTATATGAGATGCAAAATGCATGTCTGTGCTATTATACCGCCAATAATGCACAGCTATAATTCATAAGTTGCATTGCATCTTCAAAAGACACCTTTTATGTCTTCCATAGAAGGTACACTTTAAACTCACTGGCTGCCTTCAAATGTAATACCAAACCATGGTTTGCTATTATAAAAAGCAGAAATAAACGTTCTTCCTGTGCATAGCATACTAAGATTAGAAGCTTCCAGGCTCAGTTTATGGCAAGCTGTTGTTTACTGCAAGCCAGAAGCAGTATCGTCTAGTCTTCTCTACTTGCCTGAGTGGAAGGTGGGACCGTAAACACCAGGTTTTATGCCTGCTTCTTTGTGAAAATAAACTCCTAAACTATAAAATACGGATTACCTGAGTGAGTTCAAGAATGTAAGCTTGCTTTGCTGAATCAGATTAAGATCTACCTGGTTCTGTCCTCCAGTCTAAGAATCCCACTGACCAGCAGGCACCCATGTCCCACTTACGCCTAAACTTAGATAACTTAAGGGCACAAGCACACACACGCTCTGTAATCAAGGAAGGTATATTTTAAGGTTCAGACAACATGGAAGTCAAAGGTGAGGGTGCGTACCCATGCAACAAAGCAAACTGGAAGCCAAATGGGAACACAAATTTGGTATTTCTGTACAAATTAGAGCTGAGCAGTGCAAAAACACACTGGAGAAAGTAGCTTTGCTTGAGTGAAGTTGCTGGGTCCCATCTTAGTCACTTCACAAGATCATGCGACAACAACAATCATATTAAACATTCCTTTATATACATACACATGTATGTCACGGGACAGCATTTTGCAACACAACCAGCTCAGTTCTGCTAAAGCTGTGTCTTAAATGATCTTGATACCTTCATTTGTAGCAGGCATGAAAATGGCTGCTACAGTCTGGATCGTCAGTACCTCTCGGGTTCTGCTCACAGAAGGCACCTATTATAATATTGCACAAAGGGAAGAGACTTGACACTTGGCTTAGTGTACTTCAGAACTTCCATGTTTCAGGAGTTTGGCTGTTCCGGCACCTAAAGTAGCCTACAACTCACTCATACTGCCTACTGTGCAAATTTCGTAAGGCCAACAATCCTGGGTCAGCTGAGCGTCATTAGGTGGCCTACCCCATCACCTGGTGAACATCATGAAATCCCATCTAGGCAACACACAAGACTTGAATACTAGAATCCAGGTGGTGAATAGATGCAGTTTTTAAAAAATCTGGATGGCTGTACATAGTGCCAGGGAACATGTTTCTTTTACTGTGCTGCAGCCAAGGGGCTGCAGCTTAGGAGGACATGCCCGCTAATACCTAGCGATGCTTCCTGGTTGTAGTGAATAGAAAACTTAAGGAGACCTCCCACCCCCTTGCCTGTAAAATACATCAATACATGTTTTCACCACCTGTGCCCCTGAACTGATCTAGGAGTTTAATCGGACGAGTTAAACTTCCATATATCAAAATTTTCAGCCCTTCTAGGATTCTGCAGTTCATCACTTAGTTCTTGCTGCAGTGAACTTCCTCTGGTAACAATGGATAATTTGTTAATAGGAACAGGTTGTAACTAACAAGTCTGATCATAGAAAATTCAGGTAGTTTTAAACCAGGTGGTGAGTGCAAATCGTTCAGTAGGAGGGACCATGTGCTTAATCCAAATAAAAATTTGCTGCTTCCTTTAGCTCTGATAAAGCCCTGGTTCTCCTATTGGTGGTGGCTTGTCGGGTGAGAGATCCACATCTGCAAAACAAGGTTCATTTTAGCTGCCCGTCCAAAAGCAAAGAAACCCAAACCCCATCCATTGAGAGTTTAAAAGGACTGTGCTAGTAGATGGACTCTGTCTGAGAGGGCTGCTTTGAGCAATACGATACATGCAGATGTGGTTAGAGATTTGTGCTTCCAGGCACAACCCACAGGGCTGATGCCCAAGATTAATGCACCCTTTCTGTGCTCAGTGTGAATCAGCTGCAGATTTGAGGAGCGTACTTCACACTCTGTTTCTCAAAGGGATACTGTGGCAAACAGCGTTGCGTCCACAGCCCCACACTGAATGGATTCAAATCTTGTCTATAGCTGACTCCTAACCCAGGGCTACTTAATGGTAAGCCTACAGCATGCACAACTTCTTCAATTTTGAGGGCTGCATGTGATGCTGGTTTGTTATATTGGCACCATCACACACATACATATAAAGATCCCGAAAAATATATTTAGACTTGCAACACATTTTATGGTGGATATTCCACCCCACTAACTACACCCCCCTCCCACTTCCCTCCTATAAAGTATATTTCATTTTCCCTGAATTTCACTTCCAAGACTAAGGAAAATCAATGGGTGTGTAGTTGCTGGAGCATTGTGGGCCTATCCAAGCAGGAAGAAGGGACAGGAAGCAGCTGTCAAATAAACACTTCCTTGCATTTTTAACTTTGCGCGCTCTCCACTTGCTCTGCCTTTTTGTCTACACTCCTTCTTCCTTTGCTTTCAGAAGCGTAAAGTCAGGGGAACAGGCTGGCAGTCCTTACCTGATTGGGGCTGGGGGTGCATCCTGTGGAATAACAGAAGGAAGATGTAGAAAGTAAAGGCCAAGGCTCCGAAGATGGTTCCGCAGACCAGGAAACTGTAACTGCCCTGATCATGAATGATCTGTAATAGAGAAAACCATGAAGTTCAGAATTGGTGGCTTCAGTGCAGCCTTAATGACAGATGCAGCGGCACACTGCTTTGCTATGTCTAGAGGTCTGAGGAACCATTATTTCAAACTGCTCCAGTAATGCTGATGTGGGTTATGCAGGATCCATTTACCTGTGGGCTTTTTTCAGCCAGATTATCTGACCTTTGGGGAAAGGGATGAATGGCATCTTTTTCCTGGGGTTTCTACCAGCTTTCTGCTAGAGGGTGAGGGTTTTAGTTCCAGAAGTTACTAGCTATCTAGATTGCAGGGGTGCCTTAAGCCCACATCTCTTAGAAACTAGCCCAGTTTAACCAGAACATGTTTCCAACTTGGAACTTTGAATCGGGCCCCTTGTTCTTTCAAGAAAGTTGCATCAGTTATGCTTATATTTATTTATACCCACCCTTTACCCTATGACCTCAAGGCAATGCACACCATTTTCTTTCCACCTGACTCCCAACTTTTATCCTCATAACAACACTGTTAAATACAGTGGTACCTCGGTTCACAAACACCTCAGTTCATGACCAAATCAGGTCTCAAACAGAAATTTCAGAAAAAAATTGCCTCAGGTCACAAATTCTGCATCAGGTGATGATCACAGTCGTGCTGGCGGGGGAGATGGCTCTGCTTGTGCTCAGGTGGGGGGGGGGGAGATGGCTGCAATCTTTGTTCTTTGTCACTTTGCTTCAAATTTTTGTGATTAAAAAAAAAAGTTACAGAACGGATTAACCTTATTTACATTGAACCTTATGGGGAAATTTGACTTGGCTCACGACCAATTTGGGTCACGACCAGAGTCCTGGAATGGATTAAGTTCGTGAGCCAAGGTAGCACTGTATGTTAGGCTGAAAGAGAGCCAGAGTTCAGCCCTAGGTCACGCAACACTTGCCATGGTTGAGTCAGAGTTTGAACCTGGGTCTCTCACTTCCTAGCCCTGCAATCTAACCACGACACCATACAGAACTGTGACCTTAAAAGGGAGCAAGATGATGAAGCTAGACAAAAGCATTCTCTGAAGCAGAAAAACATTTTAAAATGCCACCCAATGCTGTAGGGTGGACAACAGAAAGATAACTGCAGGATTCAAGGTTTTGCCATTTGAACTGGCTTCAGCACGTTAAAGTTCAAGCAAAGCACCTGTTTGACATGCACGAGGTCTCAAGTTCCATGTCTCTCCAGTCTGAAGCTCTAGAGAGCTACTGCCAGTCAACAAAGGCCAGCCTCCCCCAACTTGGTGCCCTCCAGATGTTTTAGAGTTCAGTTCCCATCAGCTCCAGCTCATATGGCCAGTGGCACCAGCTTGGGGAAGGCAGATGCAGTCAATATTAAGATAGAACTCTTTTGATAAAAGGCAGTTTCTTTCCTGTTTAGGATTAACTTCCTGGAAAGCAGTTATGCAAATCTATCATAAATGGGTATACAATTCAGGACAGCTTATACTTAATGGGGGTTTATGTTTGCCTTGCATCTCATGCACTTACTGATCCCACCAGTAACTGAAGGACCATCTCTCCAACTCCCGCGCCTGTCACCAACACAGTAGTGGCACAGCCTGGAATAGAATTGGCACGTGTTAGTTGCCTGGCTTCAGATTTTAAATAAGCATATAAAAGGCAGCATAGACACCGCATCATGAGGAGGTTGCATCTTCACTAGCTTTATCCACATCATGTCTCTCCTGGGGATGTAATAAAAAAAACTGGAAAAGACGAGGACAATCAAATACAGGTGATAGAAATGTTCAGTCAAGAAAGACTCCCCCCCCCCCCGCGCTGTCCTGCAGTCTGCAATTTTCTCCATTCTACTTAGTTCTGGGCAAGGAAAATCCTTAAGGTATGTTGTTTATTTGCCTCAGAGGAGGAAACTAAATTCTATCAAGCTGGAATTTAACTCCTTTAACTACATAAAAGCTTGGCAACTAGGTGGGACCAATCTGTGGTTGAGACAAAATACCAACTTGGCTTCAGATTTTGAATCAAGAAAAGGTCTATCCAAGTTAACAAATGGGAGAATAAGTAGCAAAGAAACAGAGGCACGTAACTCCCAGCACTGAACCCTTCACTGCCCAAAGCAAGGCTCCCAAGACACAGGTGAACCCAACCCAATTTATCTCCCCAGGACCAAGAAGAGGCCACCAAACAGATTCGTCCCAGGCAGTCTTATCCTTTCCTGCTAGGTAGACTTTTGTTGTTTGGCTATGTGACTGAGATGTGACTACTGCTCTCCTAGGGAATGGGGCAAAAAATAAAATACCTGGCAGACCTGTGGTCTGAAAGCTAAACGCCAAATCACAGATTTGCCATTGCAAAGTGCAAAGGAACATCCAGGTAAGAGCAGGCAAACTTGTTCTGCCCAAAGAAACACACATCGCAGCACTGAAAAGGCAGACACACTAACTAATACTTCACAAACACTCCTCTTCTGTCTGTTCAGATGCACCCTGCAACACTTCCAGCTTGCCGCCTTCTTTTGCTTTTTTCTAGGCAGCTGACCATGCTGGGCTGTAGACACACACCATTTTTATTTTCAAAGACTAATTCTGGTGCCCACATAGGGAGCCCGGAGGCATTTTTGGAAATAAACAGGATGGCGCAAGCTAGCATTTTGCTTTGCAGCAATCCAGCACCATAGTGTTGTTTAAAAAAAATCTAAATCAGAATAAAACCCAGAAGGGCCAGAGAACCTGATGAGTGCCAAGAGAGGCGCCCATGGGCACCATGTTGGAGACCACACCATTAGCTCATGGGGCAGAACAAAGAAGTCCTTAAAGGGGCAGGTGCTTTTGTCTCCACCAGAGAGCAGGCTTCTCTGTGCAAGTCTTGTAAGGTGAGTATGTTTGCTTTGCTATTAGTAAGGGTGTCCTCCACAACCTAGGAGACAGGCTTGTTGAATATAATCAGACTTGCTTCTGAATAAACCTGCATTGAAATTGTAATGTTACTTTAAGATCTGTGTAGAATTCAAACCTTTAAACACAATGCAGGAACACACTCAGCTTGGGAACTGAAAGTGAGCCCTCCACTTTTGCTTTGCTTAGTGCAATTGTGGCTGTCGATGTGATTTTTCCAGAAGGAAGTAACTCAGTGAGAGTGCTGCCTTACCTTTGTATTGAAGGATGTCTTCGGTGTAGGCAAGCACACTAGGGAAAGTGCTGCTGAGGAATAAGCCGAGAGAAGCAGTCCCCACAAACAGAAAGAGAACACTGTAGGAAAAGATCAGGAGCAGGAAGAATGTTATAAGCACTCCAACCTGCAATGACATAAAAAGGAAGTAAGGAGAGAAATCAATGTATAGATTCAAAATGTTCTGGGCTTGGCCAAAGTGGAGGAGCAACAGTTAGATGGGGAGGAGTAGAAAGATACCAAGAAAATGGCCAGGTGAGTTTTCCCTCTGGATAACAATTCACACATGCTTGAGTATCAATGAGTGAGTATCCCAGTTCCCAGTGACATGCAGCTGACCATGGGACCCACCTCAGAAAGCACTGGGTTGGATCTACACTTAGCCGTGTTTAGAAAAGACACACTGAAATCAATGCGTAAGTTAGTAATTATTCCCACTGATTTCAATCTGCACAACAAGAAAAACCATCATGGATAACAAGCTGTGCTGGGTTGTTGCGCTGTCTGAATTCAGACTGCTTCCCAGAAGGTGGCTAATCGTGTGGCAACAGGCTACCCTGACAACCATGGTTTGTTTTAAGGGTTGCTTGACTCACAATGGATTGCCACATCTACCAGATCTGGGAAACTAATTCTATTGTGAGTTGCAGGGATTGGCTAGTGAGTCGCAGCTGATCCTACAGAAATAGGATCCAACCCATTCCTTGTAGCTTGACTTTACAGCTACAATTTTCATTCATATGCTCTAGTTTTGATTTGCAACAGGATATTTAAGTTTTGTTTTATTTTTAATGAACATAGAATGCCTTTTGGGAGCACGTCATTGGGAGAATAATTTTACAAGCTCCTTTGCATTGCCCTTATTCATGAGATTCTCTACCCACACAACTCTTTTGCTTCCAAATGGGTCTGCTGGTAAAAGGATCAATAGTGTTACTGGCCTTCCTGAAAATGCAGTGGCCGCAACCTGCCTTCTCAACCATTTCAGCTGCCCTGTAAGGAAAGGAGAATGGAAAGATTTGGTCGTACCACATTGATGAAAACCATAGTTGCTGGCTTCATTCGGTATGACACAGGGATGGAGATAAGTCTGCCCAGTGTGATGAACCCCCAGAAGAGGCTGGGCAGATAACCAGCCACCTTATGTCCCACTGAGAGTGGTTCCTCCACAGCATAGCTGTACACAAAACCAGAGTACTCGCCCTGGAGGAGAGACAGAAACACAGGACATTAGCTCCGGACTGCACAGGCCCTGCTCTTGCAGTCTTGTTTTTGGGCATCCAGAAGGTGCCCTCGCAAGGATGCCGAGAGGGACCTGGCCAGATCTGCCCACGATTGCTCACTATTTGTTAATGCAAGACTGATGCTAAGCGCTGCCGGGGGCACCCAGCACCTGAGTGGGATGCTGTTGCCACTATTTAAAGCCAGTGGCCTCGTTTGCATGAGGAAGACCAGTCTCTTTATTCTTCAGGGACTGGCCTCTTTAGGGCAGCCCCATGGACGGAAGTATGGCCCCTAGAATGCTTTGCAAGGAGCTGAGCTGTCACACTTGGACATGCAAAGGGGAGGGGGCATACTTCCTGCAGCCCTACGTTGCTTTAGGTACGGGGCTGGCTGGGGAGGGTACCTGTGCAATTGGGCCACAGACCTGCAGCTTGCCAGGTGCCTCCCTGTGGGTCCTTGTGGAGACCACGGGATTAACAAACAAGCAACCCCTCCAGTACTGAGCGCACCCAGCAATGCTCAATATCAACTTTTTCTTTAAGACAGTGGATGATTATGGGCAGCCCACTCCAGGGCCTCATGCCCCAAAATAGGAGGAGAACAGAGGAGGCAGGAAGCCCCACTGTGTCTGATCGTCTTTTGCACATGGGGGAATTTTAACCACAGCGTGTGGGTTAAATTCCCAAGGAGTTTGATTGGCCTTTTAAACCTGCCCATGAAATCACTGGAGAAAAGAAAACTTCTATCCTTTGTTTTCTAGCATGTGAGTTTTCTACCCCAGCTACAGAGATCAACCATGATGGCAAACAAGGCAGTCTGGCCACATTTGTTCAGTCCCCTCTAGGGACTCGGAAATGCTGCAAGGTGTGTCTGATACAATTCTTCTGCTGCCCGCCCTTACCAGGATCCCATCTGTCATGAAGAGGAGAAGGGCTCCAGTCACATGGACAGCAAAGTAAGAGCAGGGAGCTCCTCTGAAGTTTTTGCTTTGGCAGCAACCGAAGAGGTCGTCATGTCCTGGGTAGAGAAAGCAATTTCACGTAAGTACAGGGTGAAGCTTCTTGGTTTGCCAAGATATTCTCTGTGTACCACACAGAGTGAGCAACCTGAATTTTGGATTTTGGCACTGATATTCGCCTTTGAAAAATTCTGCAGGTCTTATACGGTAGGGGAAAAAGAAGAGGTACTGTCACTTCTGCATGTCGTTTTTGGACGGCTTGGAAAAATGACACTGTTGTTAAAGGAACGGACTTCCTCTTTTATTCCCTCTCCAACTCTGCTGCCAATCTGTCATGCTGAGATGAGAGAGGGAACTGACCTATATTACAGAATTACATAAGTCAGGGAGCAAACACTGAAATGAAATGCCCAGTTTGCCTTTCGGTGCCTGATCAACAACCCACTCCCGACAACTCATCACTTCCTTATAGAATAAGGCACTTTATTGCTTATTTCAGGGTTCGGAACCCTTCCCTACCCAAGGACCACATTCCCCTGCAGGTAACTTTATGATGGTCACATGCCAGCAGAGAATGGGGTCAAAGCCATACACTGCCCCCAATACACATGGGAACCACGTGCCTGAATGTTCCCTCTTGTGCAGCAAAGAAGCTTTCTAAAAGCCTCCTGTTGGAAGAAAGTTGCAAGGAAACCTCCCTTTGGAAGCCACAGTGCATGAGGGAAGTTAACTCTGACAACCCTCCTTCCACAAATAACGCATCCCCACGCTGAAATAAGGCTTGAAAAATGCCCAACGGCTGTGGCGAAGATAAGGAAGGGGGCAGCTAGGAAAGTCATGCTAGAAAAGTCTGCACACGCATAACTTGGGGGTGGGAGAGTAGGTCTCAATAGAAAACATGTACAATAATTTCACACAAAATTAATTTTGCCTAGTAATTTAGGAACACCAATTTCTTCATTCCCTCTGAGAAGCTTCCCTGAAGCATTAGTTAGATGGTGCTGCAAATAGAATATTTCACCAGAAGGATGCTGGGCTTAGATGGATCCCACAGGGCTTTTATTAGCTGCTGTTTTCTCTATCAGATAGCCTTCTCTTGTCGGCTGTGGCTTTGTGCATCTTTCCCCACTTGCACTGTGCCACCGTGTCTGTCACAGATTCCCCAGTCGGCCACATGCACAGACATGTTTGCCTTACCAAAACCACCAAATAAATGGATTTTTCTAGATGATGCATAAAAGTTGCTTCTGACAAGCTTGGCATGGACTGACATATTTTCATCTTCCAACCACTCTGTGCAAAATGATAATTACCCCTTTTTGCTTATGAGAGCTATTGTAACGCTGGGAAACCAATGCCTTTATCCAGACAGCAACGTCGCCCATATTAAGAGGTCAGAGTAAGTGTGAAACATCACCGTCAACTGGCTAAGGGTTCTAGCACAGGTGGCAGTTTTAAAAGACATTATGAAGGACCTACTCAAATTACAGGAAGGTCCTGCTATGCTATGAACTGGATAAACCTGCCCCAAAGAATTTGTCATCTGTAAAGTTAATATTTACAGATGCTAAAGACAAACAGCATAAGGTATTCTAGGATTAATGGGATCAACATATTTGGATTGGGCAGAGCTTCTGTTCAGACATACATGGGAACGTTCTGAGATTCTAGATGGAACTGCAGAGACGAGACAAAAGATTAGGACAATCAACTGTATTCAGAAGGCCTTTACTGAGTTTCCTAAACGCTGTTTGCATAAAACCTGTGAGCAAAGCATTCAGCCACAAATGCTTAAGGAGCTAGTTAAGGAAATTCATGGAGTTCAACACCTGCGCTGATTTGACTCCAACCATTCAGTAATGAGAATTTCCCAGGACACATGTAACACACCACCTCTCACTCCACAATGCATCCCTTCATCACACAGTAACACGATATGATGGTGAACTGGCACGACAGCTCTCACCTGTTTCTGGCTGGATTTTTGGTGAGGAAGTTGAGGAATCGTCCTTGTCAGCTATCCTGGTTTCCAGTGCCAGCTCATCTGCAGGCAGCAGCGGGGGACTGCTGTGCTGACAGCACGGCACGAGCCTTTCCTTGTAGAGCAAAAGGAACACTGCAATGGGGACAGGCAGCTGGAGAGCAACACAGACAGGCCAGTCAGGAACAGACTGTGGCTTTTGGCATCCATATTATAAATATGTGAGTGAGTGAGTGAGTGAATGAACGAATATAGATTGGCACTTGTTCTTCCACTAGACAGGGTTAGGAAGGCACTGGCTGCCCTCAGTATGGTACTTCCTGCTAGCCTATTATGGAAGGGACAGGACTTGCATGAACACATGTCTTGCCAGCCTTTAACAGTTGTGCTGAAAGGGGAATTTCAGCAGCTGCAGCTTTGTCTGCAAAGGTGTGAAAAGCAGCACCTGATAAATTTCCGTCTTCTTCACAACTATTTTTTTAAGGAACAGGAGAGAAGAGGCTGTACTTTTTTAGAAAACAGAAAACTTGTTACAGTGAGGACACCAATTCTACAACTGCATTTCTCATTGTGTGCACCCTCTAGCAGAGATGTGTGTCATGGGTACATGAGCACAGGAATGTGTTGACATGAAGCTGATCCATGGAGCTGCATTAATGCAGGAACACAAGCTTGTGCTACAGCTTGTTTTTGGTAGCATGCAGGAATCTCAACAAGACAAGATACAACCCTCCAGCCAAAATGTAAGGCATTTCCCCAGAAGGACTTCCTCCAACCACCATCCCCAGCAACCAAATGGCTCATTTAAGACCATGCAAGCTTTACATAGATCAGTTTTTAGTTATTGTTCTGTAGTTCCAGCAGTGGTCTGCAGTGTCATTTCTCACTCAGCCAGCAGGTGGCAGGATAGCACCATGGCTTCTAGCAACATTGGTGTCTCCAACTAAAATTGACTTGCAAGCTAAGCATGTGCCTCAAAGTTCATGTAAAACTGCAACTAAGTCATCCTCCCATCTGGATGGCCACTGCCGAAAGATCAAGCATGGAGCACCCAGCTCAAGTCTCACAATTCTTTCTAGTAGCATTTTGCTGTATACAGGAGAAGTGCCCCCTAGTGGTTCTCTGCCTTACTGACATGACATGAATTTAAAATTCATATACTAATTGTAGTACTGTCTTTCTTAAGTCTACTGGGATATATTCCTTTGTGTTTGTGTATTTTTTGGGGGGAAGCAATATATGAAAGGAACTAAGTAATGTTAATTGAATCTGGCTTCCTTCTCCCTCATGTGATTAATGGTGAGAGCCAGGACATCCATAATTAATGGCTGCTCACTCAAAGTTTGTTTTCCCTTCGTCTGTGAATTAAGAGAGCTGTAACTCCACATTTCCTGGTTTTTGTTGGCTCAAGGTATTATTCCAAGGCATGGGGCATTCTCTCAATCTCTGTTCCCCTCTCAACTGAATTCATTAAAGAGCCCTCCATTGTTCAAAGAACAATGGGAACAAGAACAGCCAGTTCAGTTGCAGGGAAAAAAAGTTTCCCCCTTATAGTTAGAATCCTTCCGGAGGTCAGGACCAGCTTGCCCTAGTGACAAGTTTGCTATGAATGTGAGAGCAGCACAAACAGTTCACTGTCCACTTGGACGGCACAGGGCTAGACAGGTATAAGGCGAGCATCCGGTGTTTGCCTGATTATCTTGGCCAGAGTTTCCCCTCTGTGAAACAGACTTCGTGAACTACCTGGCTGATTACTGCAAGGATGAAAGCTATGGATGGGAAAACACTGAAAGATTGCGATGACATACAAAATATCCCCCACCTACTGGCAAGAGATGCAAGGCTGGAGTGGGCAGAAGGGAGAACAGCAGCAGCTTTGGCAAGGCCCTCTATGCCTACTTGCTTTACAGAAGCAGCACATCTAAATTATACAGTTGAAATGAGGCTCTTTGTAGAATGCTCTGAAATCCATTCAGTTCTGGTGCTCTGCTCAAACGAATCCATAGCTTCAACATTCTTTAATTTCAAGTGTATATCATTTGCATCAGTCTTTGCCTGGGAGATTTCAGGATTCCAGTAAAAAGCAAAGCAATTCCCATAAGCCAGAAGTTTGGAAAGAAGGCTCTTAGGATTAAACAGAAAAAAGTCACAATGATCTGGAATTTTTCATTTAAAAAACCAGTCTCATCCTCCAAGATGACTATGGCACTCAAGAGCACAAAACCCTAGCATATGCGAGCCATCAAATTTTAAATAAGCACACAGCCATAAATAAGCGAAGAATTCTGCTTTAACTAAGTCATCTATGCATTTCATTTTCACTGGCAAGGACTGGCAGAACATCCCGGAAAAAGTGCTGTACTTTTAACTACCCTGGATCAGACAAGTAGTCCAGCTTAAGAGCCATAAAAATCAAATGGTCAGAAATAATTAAAAGCTTTGTTACAGCTTTTCAATCATCTCAACTAAAAATAATACCAAGTGGCAGCGGGAGAAGAGAGAGCACTGATGAACAAACAGGGTACACATCCTCAGTTTCAGATATTATGCACTTGCGCCCCCCCCCCCCACACTTCTTCCACTATAAAGCTGAAAGGTGAACTTATGCAGGACATGTTCACAAACTTCTGGTCTGCTTCCACAGCTTTCAAGTCTCTGCACCAGTGCCACTTCTGCCTGCAGAGCAGGCAACGTGAGATAAGGCCCTTGGACATCTGGCTAGCTGTATGCTGCAATATCTGTTGCTGTTCCTGGAAAAGTAACCCTAATTGCAAGTGTAACTCCCAGGACCTACAATTCCCAGGACCTACACATGCTAAAGGCCTGGAAAGGGAGGCTTCTGCAGACCCTCTGAAGCTTCCAGTCTTAGACAGCCGCACTTACAGCATTACTCCCGATCCACTTCAGCAACTTTTTTGCTTCAACTAATTACTGATCTGAATGACCAAACTAATCTGAATGAAGGTCCCAAGGTGCAATTACCCTAGTTAAGATGTTGTTGAGCAAAGGCATAGATGGGATGAATCAAAGTCATCATGGGAATGAGGCAACTGGAGTCACGAGGATGAATGGGGTCAAAGCTCCAAAATGGGGTCAGAAGTGAGTCAGGTATTTGTTTAATTATATGTGTATGGTAATAAATATATGCCACGCTTTCCCACAAAACCAAGGTCCCATCCAGACCACAGTCCAGAGGGGTGGGCCTTATTGCATTCCTATCCCATCTTGTCTCTGAGAAAGCCCTCTCCCAGGAGGCAGGCTGGGCTGAGAGATGGCAACTGACCTGGGGAGACTCTGGGATCTTTGCCACAAACCATTTTTTAACCTGAACTGGAAATGAAAAAACAGAAACAACATCTCTGCAGGTTTTTTGGGGGTGAGGTGTGGTGGGGGAGGGGAAGGCAGACTGCCGCTCTGTTCAGCATGAGAAGTTGCTGTTCAAGAGGCACAATGTGCAGACCCACAGAGCTGTGTATCAAGTGATGCACTGGCTTTGGAATGCACCGGATGCGTTGGGTCCAGAGTGAAAGTTCTTGGGATGCAGCTGGACAAGCCGAGTTCAGGCTTAGTTGCTGGTCTCACCATCACAAAGTGGTAGGTAGTACAGAAGTATGTGTCTGCAAGTGTGTAGTCACACACTGACTGATCACAGCCCATATTCAAACACCTAGGATCAAGCAACAGGGCTTCCACTCAGAGGAGAAACTTCCATTTGAGGCTCTCTTTTCATAAGGCTAAAACACACACAGGAGAGACAAGAGTCTTCTGGCACCCTAAAGACCAACAGAACAATCCCAGTACAGCCTAATGAATTAGTCCCTTCTGTACGCGACTGAAATCTCTCTTCCAAGTCCATCCAACTGTTTCACAGACACAACAGCCCAGATCTCATCCTCCTGATTTTTGTTAATGTTTTATTTTACTTTTCCTTTTTCTAAAGGCTGAATGGTGCTGATGAACCTATTTGGCTTCCATCACCCAGTTTGTCTGCCAAAATACACATGGGTAGGGCCAAGGCGGTTTATTGCAGGGTCTCACGACTTGGCATGCTTGCTTTAGAGTGACATATTGAACCTCCTGGTATACTGTTTAATGAGAGGCCTTGGCACAGGGATTGCCAGCCGACTGTGAGCCTAAATAAACAGCAAAATCAGAATCATTTCATGTGTGACTAAATGCTTGGCCTACAACGTTAAGTGAAGTCCACCTGCACGGGGATCTAGCACAGGGGTGCTGAGCCAGATCCAGCCCACCTGGTGTCCCCAGATGCATATTCCCTTCTCCTGGCTTCACCCCTTTCCCTCTGACTGCTGATTATTTAGTGGTTTCCTGGCTTTTGAGCACTCGCTCTAAAAGAATGAATGTCTCCCCAGAGGCTTTCTATCCAAGAGCTTTACTCTAAACTGGTGTAAAGTGGTGTCCTGCAACAGATTCGACGGTCTTCGTGGCCCCTCCCAACTCCACTATTCTATGATTCTATGCCAGTATTTCAGGCTCCTCTTGCTTTCAGCCCTGCCCACCACTGAATGCTCCCCCTGCACCCTCATTTTGTAAATTAAAATAAGTAGAATGTGCGAAATGTCCCAGGACTAAATTTGACTTTCAAGTTAAAAGAGGTTCAAGCACGTCTGCTGTCTGTATTATGTTGTCAGTTCTCTCCAACCTGGTGGAATCCAGATGTACTGCATTGTCACTTACTCCTCTGGCTGAGAACAATGAGAGATGGAATCCAATCTGGCCAGGACCAAGATGAAAAAGGCTGTTACAGCAGAAGGTCTATATCAAAAGGTCTGCCCAGCACACTTCTGTGGTGAATGCATGTAAGATTCTGTACACCAATGCCTTTAACCTCCTTCATAGATCACTGCCTTGTCGTGGCGAAGGAGCTTGCGTAGCTCAATGAAGCTATGAGCTATGCCGTGCAGGGCCACCCAAGACGGACAGGTCATAGCAGAGAGCTCTGACAAAACGTGATCCACTGGAGAAGGAAATGGAAACCCACTCCAGTATCTTTGCCATGAAAACCCCATGGACAGTACCAAAAGGCAAAAAGATATGATGCCGGAAGATGAGCCCCTCAGGTCGGAAGGTGTCCAATATGCTACTGGGGAAGAGCAGAGGGCTAGTACTAGTAGCACCAGAAAGAATGAAGCG